AATAATGAAGTAAGCATTATTTGCTTGTCTAGAGCAGTTTATTATGAATAAAAGTATCTCAAAACTTGTCACTGAAAGAGGAAAGGACAGAAAAAGTTAAGTGATCATATTTTACCCCTTTTTGATATTTTTCTTCGATCTCCTCAGACCGAACTTTTTTTTCTTCCAAAACGCTAAAATGAAAAGAAATTGCCGAGAGATGAAATCTTTGCTGAAATATTTAAAAAGCTAATTAACAAAAATCATTTCAACAAACTTACGAATTTTGGGAGTCGATTTGATCAAAATTGCATCTTCATTAGATTTTTTCTAAAATCGATCATCAATATATCAGCATAACTAGCTACGATTGGCAAAGCAAAGTTGAATGGAAATGTAAAATTAAAAACTCGTTTGAAATTTTCTAACTTCGACTGTTAAAGTAGAAACTGAAAATTGCACAGGATAGTTGGTTTAGAGTTTACGAAGATAGTGATTGTTACGCTAGGTATTCAAGTAAATACAGGTGCAGCTCAACTTCAACTGTTAAAATAGAAACTGAAAATTGCACAGGATAGTTGGTTTAGAGTTTACGAAGATAGTGATTGTTACGCTAGATATTCAAGTAAATACAGGTGCAGCTCAACTTCAACTGTTAAAATAGAAACTGAAAATTGCACAGGATAGTTGGCTTAGAGTTTACGAAGATAGTGATTGTTACGCTAGATATTCAAGTAAATACAGGTGCAGCTCAAAATATTAGAATTTTTTCGTTGACGATAAAAGAAAACAAAGCATTGGAGCAGCGCATTTCATTGAAAATGTGCTGTCGTGAAGTGGAAACACTAATTTATCGTAACTACACTTATGTGAAATACATCACACGTTAGTCCCATGTAGAAGAGTATCATTGACATTTCATGAAGACAGACGAACACAAAAGATGATAAATAAAAGAGCAAGTTGTTCACACAGTGCTGTGTTGAAACACTTTAACGAGAAGAGTACATGGTGTGTTGAAAAAGACGACCATGAGAGATTATCATCGCCTCAAGAAGAATGTCAACGAGAACAGATTCAAAAACTCAACCAAAAATATTACAGAAAATGGTAAGATGTTGAGGTCAGAGCATCCAGGGCTACAACAGAGCGATGCATAAAGACAAAAAAAAGGTTAAGTGAGCCAGAAGCAAATGTAAAAAGAGTATTAACTGGGGATGAAGAAAAAAAAAATGACCTTGACAGCTGCAGATTAATGTGGATTAATCAAAGAACCTTATCCCGAAAGCATGAAGGATGAATGGACGTGAGTTTGGTAAGCCATAACCGTCATGAAAAAGAATGTGGGAATTATTGTGGTACGATAAAGATACAAAAAAATGCTGTGGTTGTTCCAGTATCTTAAAATATACCCAACTTAACCTCTGCGTGTCGTAAAAGTAGATCAAAAGGGATTGGTGTCAGGATGGACATCCTACGACAAAAAGAAAACCGGGGACAGCGTGAGAAAGATTGATGGGCATGACGGTTTAAAATTTAAGCTCGATGTCATTCTTGAAATACGAAAGAAATAGATACAAAAAGATTTTCTTCATGGAATATATGATCGATGACGGGCGGAAAATTACAGAGGAATCAAATAACTAGAACATTGGCTGAAGATTATGAAAGGAACATTGGATAAGCGTATCCGAAAAATGGTAGAGATTGTCCAAAACAGTTCGATATGATTCCAGGAAAAATTACGGTAGATGTAATATTCATCCCCCAGACAATTGGTAGAGAAAAGGATTGAAGATAACTTAGCGGTGCTTGCAATTTTATTGACCTTGAGAAGGCATATGATCGTGCCTCAAGAGATGTAGTGTATTGGTGTTTATGGAAAAAATGGTGTACTGGAGAAGTTATCGAGAATGGTTGTGCAAAAAGCACAAAAGGGGAGAAAAAGTTGTGGGCAACATTTGAAGAGATAGCAAGATGGTTTAAGAGAGAGTGTTTAAATTAACTAGGACCTAAAGAACAAGATGCCCACGATCGACAATATATATTGGAGAAACGGAATTATGGCCAAGGATCCTGTAAAGGTTAAGGTGTCCAAGAAAGAAAGATACGTAACAAGTACTCAAGTATAACTGAAGCTAGCAAGCACGGCAGCTGTGCTTGAAAGAAAAAAGAATGAATATAAGATCACAAAAGACAGAACAAAAGAAAATAGTTTAAGACAAAAGCATTGTTGCAGTAATGGAGCTCCAAGAAAGTTAAGTTCACAGATATTGTATGAAAAACAAAAATAAAACACAGATCTAGGATTGCAAACATAAAACATGGAAGAACAAATAGGTGTTGGGTTGCTTGACAAAAAACTATATGATGAAAAAAGAAAGTCAAAGCAGGCAGATCATTTTGAAGAACCTTTTGATGGACAAAATGTGAGAGAAAATAACTGAAACGCTTTTGAAGTGGAGCGACTACACCAGGGGCCGGTTGCACGAAGCCTAGACAACGCTACGCACTGGATAGCAAACTTTTGTGAACGGGTTGAAAAACTTCTTACAAAGGAAGAATATAAGGTTTCAACTGAACAATCACTGAAATAAAATATTACTACTAAGATTACAAAAATTCCTATGTAGCAACGAAAATACAAACATCTTTTTTACAAGTTCGGAAATTTTACTATCCAATGGATAACGCTATCCAAGCTTCGTGCAACCGGCCCCAGGAGTTAGAGTTATCATGGTATTGATGTCATCGGGATATGTGTGACAAGAACATAGAGCATGCAAACATGAGATGTGGTAAAAAGAGCTTGATTAGCGCCAGTTAAGGAAAATCTGGTCGTGTTTTGCTGTTTTGTAGACAACTGAGAAAGCTTATGATAGCTTATGATCTTCGTCCACGAAAAAAGAACAACAATAGCAATGTAAATAGTTGGGACGCAATTATCTCTGGAGCAAACTCCGTTGGCATGATCATTTATTACAAATGAATAATAAATATAGGGAAAGATCAATATAGAGAAGATAATATGCCAAGCATGGGAAAAGAGAAAAAGAGTAAAAGATAAAAGACGTCCTTTGAATCACTTTTTACTTTGATTCGCATATGAACTACGCGAAATATATTACTTATAAAGAAAAGTCGAAACCATCTGAATTAAGAACGCTGTAAGTGAATGTTCAAAACTATGAACATTTGTGTTCACGACACAAGCATTCTTGTGGTTCTTTCATTTGAAAGAAAGCGTAAAGGTAGTTGACAAGTTGTTCCAGTTTCTTGCTCAGTGTTTTGGCAAACAAATCGTCTTTGTGACGATTTCAATTGCTGAAATATTTATCCGAAGAATTCTTTAATAAATACTCTACAGCATATTTATTTTTGCTCGTCTTGCTCCTTAACTGTTTTAAATGTACCGAAAGTGTTGAAATCGCAAGCTGTCCAAGATTTAAAATGTCGTTTCTATGTTCAAAACTCAAAAACAAAACAAAAAACCTAAAAAAACCCAATTAAAAACAATAATTGATAATTGTAATGGAAACCATGGAAACCACTCATTAGATCAATTAAGCGCATGCTCACCAATGCTTACTCGCGTGCGCTCTATTTGAGCTCTGACCTAATTATAACTGGAGCAATATTGGAGATCGGTAAGCATTCCAAAAGCCTTAGCTTCCAGTAGTTTTTGAAAAATAATTCACAAGTTTATGTCGATGTATGACGTCATGGAGGAGGGTAGAAACATTTAATAAATAATTACAACGAGAGCTTAAGATATCTATCGTACGTTTGAAAATCAATGCCAATGAAAGCATTTCTGGTTGAATTATGTTCCAGAAACTTGTACAACTTACTTTATTGAACCTTACATACGATATTTAAAAAGTTAAAATATGACGCAATGAACAAAAAAATAACAAATAACAACTCAGAAAATGTTAATATGAACTTCTAAAATATTTGTTTGCCCAAATAAGAGTTCGCCATCTTTTGTTATAACTTTAGTTGACATGGAAGAAAGAATGAAGTCATGTGACAGGAAAGATATCGATACAAAGACTATTTATTACCGACCTACCATTCATATAGTATTGTTTTAGTTTTTCCTTGTGATATTTTACGACTTTGTAACATGATTTTATTTGGTATTGTACAAGTTGTTCCTTTCATAATGCTATTGGAATTTGTGTGTTTCATTTCTTCAATTCCTATCATTTTTTTACTTCATTGTGATTTTCGCTACGTTTGTGATGTTTGTTTTAATTTCTGTTGGTATTTTGAGCGAGATGTCCTTAGTCAAACCACCCGAATAAAATAAAGTTGAGTAGGTAACACCTTTTCATTTTATATTAATTCCAAGTATACATACTGCACGATTACTCAATAACAACACATTTTTTAAAAAAGGCGCGCGTATTCAACATTTCAATAAACAAGAAAAACAAATTAAATTGTGACAGTGTGCTTCAGCTTACCTTCATATGAAGATCATCGTTTTGTATAACCGCCATAGTGTACGAACTTGCTACAAAAAAGAAGCGAGGAAAATAAATACTTGTCAAATAGGAGCAAAAAAAAGGGACAAGGTACTAGCAACAGACAACTGATTTATTATGTTCTTCAAAATATGACCCTTTTCACAAGGGATAACGCTGTTTAAATAGTTTTTTAACGCAGGCGAAAACCTACCTTTTGACATTGCGAAAATAATCAGCATTAATGAAAAGCAATTGTTTACGTCATAATATGTAACTGCGTATTTCGCGCACGAGCAGCATTAAGACGCAAGCGCACAAGCGCATCTACAACGAGTAAAAAAATTGATGTGCACTTATCAAAGTATCGAAGGAAAAGTGAAAAATATCAAAATATAGATAGTATCGAAAATTTGTGATACATCGTAACAAGTTTTTTAAAACAAAAAAGTGCCCCTTTTCAAAGATATGGAAAAAACTGAAACATACTCCGAAGAAAAGGTCCATCTTTAACTCAACATTTGAAACAGACAACTTTCACGTGACGTATTATTTTATGACACTTTTATTCATTAATTTATTAAAGTTACAAGTTAGTAGTGGCTGTATTTATAAGAGGGTAAATTGTGCAATGACATCACTTTGTTCATCGTAGATTAATTCGCACATGTTGTAAAGTTTAATTCAAGTTTGTCGAATATAGTACATGTCTACATATACAATAAAATTTTGTGATAGAAACTATCATAAATTCGTATTTGTAATATTGAACACGTTTGGATGTTTCAGGTACAAATCGTTCAACCTTATCTGTATCTTAATGATTAAAAATGCAGCGAAATATTATCACATATAGGTTAATTTAATCATTCAATTTGTTGGGCGATGTTGGCAAAACTGTATACTGTTCATGCCATTCTTGCTTTACACCAGAAGCCAAAATAGCAAATATAAAGCATCCAAAAAGAGAGATAATAGCTGATATGTAAAATACAATTTGCCATTCTTGAACAGTCTGAAAAAGAGCAATGTTCATTATTTAAAGAGATATTTAACTGTTTTGTTTTCACATAGTGTTTCCCTAATATCAAGTTGTTTTTGATTACAATTAATTGGAACGAAGTGATTTTATCATTATAAATCTTAAAATAAAGGGAAAAATAGTTGGCATACATAATTTCTCTAATATTCAGTATTATACATAGATATAAAACAGTGTTGTAAAACAAACCTCATTTGGTGTCAATACACCAGCAAGTAATGGCGCAATCATTCCAGGCAATGTTGCCACGCAGTTAGAAATTCCCATTAACAATCCAGAGTACATAGGTGCTATATCAAGCATATTTACACCAAATCCACTCCATATAAGACCTCCCATACCACCCCCTAATGCTAGAAGCAACACTGCAGTGTGCTGATTTCTTGTATAGCCTACAGAGGCTGTGAATATGGCTTGAAAGATGAAACCTGCAACATAAAAGTAAAAATGATTTTTCAAGTGGTAGTTATTCCTATGTTGATGTGAAGAGGAAAATTGTCTTAAAATACCTGTACAAACATTAAATTTCCTTACGTAGGTGATACTAAAAATTCTTCTCTTGAGAAAATAGTCTGATATTAAGCCACTCAAATATAGAACCGCAGCCATGGTTATATATGGAAGAGATGATAGAAAACCAGTCTGCAACAGAAAAAAGTTTGAAAATACGTTATTTCTACTAAAATAATTTCATTCCTTATACATATGAAATAAAGCTATGACTAAGAGTAAAAGTAATTTAAAGTAATGTACGGTAGATATTCTACCTGATTTCAATTATTGTAAGATTTTCAGCAAAATGCAAACCACATGGTTTTCTATTTACCAAAATGACGCGGGGCATTACTTTCAAGTGTTATTATATAACGTTATGTTATGTAATAGGTCGTTATCACTAGCTCTATCTTGCTGTACATAGTAAATTTCTACCAGGTATTCTATCGATATGAATGTTAAACTTACAGTCAGTAAATCAATATGCAGAGCAGACTTCATATAAGTAGGTAAGGTAGTCAGTAAAGTGTAATATCCCCAGTTCTGACAAAAATGAGCGGCAACAATCGCCCAAACGGCTTTGGACGATAAGATTGATTTCCAAGGAACATTTGTTGAATTCTAAAAAGAAGAAAATACACTGCTGAGTTTGATAACTGTTAACACAACTGTCTTCATGCACATTGCTTGTTTGTGTGAAGTTTATATCGTAGTCGCGGATCGACAAAATTTTTAATCACTTGCCTGCAGTTACATAGCCAGCCTGAAATTTAGTCGTGCATTATGTAAATTAGACATTAACATTGCTACTTTCTTTAGAAATCTATTATTTTTGCAGCAAAAGAACAACTTAACATTTACATAGCACTGTTCGCCACCTTTTTGCCTGTTCATTCTAAAAGTTCATTCACACTCACACTCACTGAGTGCAACATAGATATGGTGCTCTCAATGGCAAGATTTTTGCTCAAATATTTCAAATCAAGCAATCAGTGGAATGAAAATACAGTCTTCGAATAATTATGAGGTGATTTTGAAGCGTAATTTTCAAAACACAAGCGACAAAGTGCAGTTTTTAGTCAACATCGGAGAAAACAGTAATAAAATGGTATAGGAAAGCAGCTAACCTTAGCGTCTCGTTGACCTTCCAAACTTTTTTCAATGTAATCAAGTTCTCTTTTACTTATTTTCGCATACTCTCTTGGCGAATTAGTGACGTTTAAGAACCAAAAGAAACTCCACAGAACACCCAAAATACCTTAAGAGCAACGAAATAATTACGTAACAAAAATATAATCGATTATTCACTGCAATCCTAACAACATAGAAATATTCAAGTGTCTTGAAAAGATTATGTTCAAGCTGCAAAAATACGAAAAGCAACTTTACCAAAGAAATAAAAGACTACAGGCCAGTCGTAAAATTTAATCAATATTCCTGACACAGGCACGGTAAACACAGTTCCAATGTACGATCCTAAAATAAGACAAAAGTTTTGAAAAGACTGTTATAAAAAAGATTCTAAAAAAGATATCTTCTACACAGAATCCTTTGAATTGAATGTTCGAAAGTCTATTTTTACTAATTGCTCTATGATAGATTTGACTAAAATCAATTACTACAATTGACGTTAACAGGTTGAACTTGTAACACCAGAAAACCTGGGTTGATTATATAAGCAAAACAGATTACTTCAACTTATTGATTGGTTAATATATATTCTTTAGATATTCATAACCAATTACTTTTATATAAAGGTATTTTGAATTTAAAAAGTGGTTATAATTTATTTTGCCTAACCCTGGATCCACTACTGTAGTAAACTATGATATAAAATTGCAAGAATAAAATTTTCGAGGGGGAGCGCAAAACAGATAATACTAGAAGATCTGCAGAGATTGAAATGTCAACCAACACAAATTTCACTCTGTAAAACTCACACAGTACTTGTTGTTGAATAAATAATGTGCATGGATAAAGATATGAATGAAAGGCACAAAATAAATATGATCAAAAATGAGTACGCCCCATTATCACATAAAATTCATAACATTTGCAGGCACTTAATTGATCTTATATATTCAATGCGTATCTACAACTCATACCAGAAAGAGTGAAAGCAATCATCGTAGACCTTTCTAATAGAGGTGCCCATTGACTCATGACAGCATGATTGGATGAGCATATTACACCCTAAAAAATAAAAACCAATGACGATGGTCAGTGTAAGTTGAAAAATATGATAATGTGAAAATCGTATACTACCTGAGCAACACCTTGTAAGATACGTAAAATAATGAGGTATGATACAGCACATCTTGCTGCAACTGGCGTAAGTAACGTTAAGGCACTAGCAAGAAATATTCCACCACCAAACAGATTTTTTCCTCCGTACTTCGAAGCAAAAAAACCACCCGGTATTTGAGTTGTGATGTAACCGAAGAAAAATGAGCCAAGAATCAAAGCTGAAGATTAACACAATAACAAAAATAAAGTTGGTTTTAATTTTCGTAAAGAGTAAAGCGTGAAGTGAATGTTGACAGCAGTTATTAAAACATCAGAAATGAGAGGTTAGTCAAACGGAAAAAAATGTAAAATATTTAGATACAAAGAACAAGATGCAAATCACGAGGAATTTAAGTCAATATGTTTGCATGTACAGTTGATGTAGTGAGCAATGTCGGTAAAGTAAAGAACTAAATGTGATTACAAAAATTTATGTCACGCCATTTATGATTTGATGAAATATGATTATTGATTTACACGAGTTGCAATAATACTTTAATTGCTTTTCAAAGTTGAATCAAATAATTCCCATGAATGAAACGATCATGTTTCGCGCTGGAACAATCACATAGTTGCAACGTCATTTAAATTGCAGTTTGCGACATTATAAATTAAAGCTTAAATATCACTTCCGCAATTTAACCAACATTCATCAAGAGGTTCGCTATCAGCAAACTTTGTGATCAAACTCAGAATTGAAAAGAGAATGAAGTTATTTGATGTTAAACTTGCAGTATATTTTTTAATTGCTGTCTTAAACAGCAGAGAAAAACTGGTCTACTCCAATCTTTTACAAGATAGATTAAACAATCGACCGATCATCGGTATATTAGCGCAATCAACAGAAGGAGAAAATTTTCAGAAATTTGGCTCGTCTTATATTTCAGCTTCGTACATCAAATATATAGAATCGTCTGGAGCTAGGGTTGTGCCTGTAAGAAATGATCTTAATGAAAACGAAACAGAAGAATTGTTTCGTTCAATAAACGGAGTCTTGTTCCCTGGAGGAGGTGTCGATTTGGTGACATCAGGATATGCAAGGATTGGAAAGCAGTTTTATAATTTGGCAAAAAAATCCTTTGATATTGGTGATTACTTTCCTATTTGGGGATCTTGTTTAGGACATCAATTTTTATCATTCTTAGCAAGCGAAGACGAAAATATTCTGTCAATGACAAATTCGGAAAATTACCCAATACCTCTCAACTTCACTGCTGATTATCGCGATAGCCGATTGTTCACGGGTATTTCTGAGGAGCTAGCAAAGTTTGCGAGCAATGCCGATTCCACGATCAACATGCATCGCTATTCTGTTTTGGTATCAAAATTTAAGAAAAGTAAAAAGATGAAAAATATTTTTCGCACTTTGAGCACAAACAACGATCGAGACGGAAAGGAGTTTGTTTCCACAATGGAAGGAGTGAAGTATCCGTTTTACGGCTCTCAATGGCATCCTGAGAAAAACTCCTTTGAATGGACATTAAATGAAAACATTCCACATCAAGAAATGTCAATTAAGCTAACGCAATACATGTCTAATTTCTTCGTTAATGAAGCACGACAGAGCATGCATAGATTTTCAACACGAGAAAAAGAAGAGGCTTCCCTAATTTACAACTATACTCCAACATTCACAGGAAATATTTCAAACTTCGAACAATGTTATTTTTTTCAGCAAAAAAGAAAACAGATAAGAGATTACTTTGCTTGAATCATGAGTTAAAGCAGAAGCTTAGAAATGTTTACCTGATGACTTAAAGTAAGATATAAAACTTTTGCTATAACTTTAACATTTATATTTCACAAAACATGTATTATGATACTACATTTATGCTCAATAATAAAAAATGAACAATGAATAATGAACAATGAACAATGTCATGTTGAATATTTTCTTATAAGCCAATTATCACAGAAGCAACTTTTACTTTGTCAAAAGTAAAGTGCAAATATCAAGAAAGAAGGAAATTATGCCAAAACTGACACAACTTTTAAATCTGCTATAGAAATAACTGTATCCTTAAGAATCTGATTCAAATGTTTGTTCGTTTTTTCATCAAGAGCAAAATTATTAGGATAACATGACCATTGGCATCAATCCTGTCTTAATTGAGGTGACCATATTCATATATTCTGCTATGCCTGGCTAATTTCTTTTAAAAACAATTTCATTTTCAAAAGAAATCACCCTGGAATAACTGAATATGCCCCCCCCCAATTATCACAAGATTGACACCCATGAACATGACAAAGAAATTGGGCTGTCCTTGCAAGTGACAAAAATAAGAGGCAAAAGATAAAAATAAAAAGAGGCAAAAATAAAAGTTATTAAGACAACACTGTGAATTTTATAATTGTATAATAAATACCTTGTAACTGTGAGTTCCAGTCAAATTCTGCAACTTTCTACAAAATACAAAAGTTTGTTGTATGTTTTATAAGATGTTGAAAGTTTTTGAGTGCAGTCTTAAACTTAAGCTAAATGAAAAAGAAATTAACCAAAAGAAAGAAAAGTTCTCCATTAGCTACAAAATTATTGTAATAGAAGAAAGAAAGACACAAAGTTCAGTCGTACACTACCTCAATATCAAGACCATGTCCAAACTTCGTATCATTATTTACCATGGCCACCATTGCAACACTAAGATTGACTCTTAACGCATATGCATTAAAAAAGCCAAACATTGCCAAACATGCTACAATGTATCGTTTAGGAAAGAATGAACATAGACAGCCATCATCCTCAGCTGATCTTTCTTCATTAAGTTTGTCAACATCTTCGTGTGATTTTATTTCTTCCATAAACAAGACCTACCCTACCAATAAGCAAAAGTCGTTCAGTTATTCCGGAAATGATAGTATATGCTGGTATATGGCTCTATGCTACAAAGATTGAAATAAGGCGATAAACTTTATTACGTTATTTTATACACACTTCTTTACATCCTCGAACACTATTAAATAAATGAAGAATTTTGCCAGTCATAATCGATCTAACACGACAAATGTAATGCGCACATCAAATATCATCGCTATTCATGCTTGGGAAAATAACAACATAATTGATTTTGAAAACGCTCATATTGTTAATAGATGCAGTCATAGCATGCAAAAAAAACTTTAGAATCATGGCACACTGGAATAACCAAAGCAGCTGAAAATAACTCAAAACAACTTCGTGGACATTATGAAATTATTTTAAGGAAAATATTAACTTGAATATTGTATCATATTACATTATATCCTGTTTCTTTATTTATGTGTTTATAATGCTACAGCTCAGCCAGCCTCATTTATCTTTTTATAACACGTCGAAAGCTCGAAAGCACGTCGTTAGACAGCTGAAAGCTCGCTTTTCTTATAAAATTTTTATATCAATGAGCGTTTGACCACATATGTCTAATGTTGATATCCGATCACGCGTTTTTTGCTGTTAAAACTTATCCTTTTATATTTATTATACTCATACTAAAATAATTTATTAAAAATATTTCATTTTCATACAATTTGCGCTTTGTCCAACAGTCCGAGACTCTATTTATTCAATCTTTAATCATATTATGAGAATTCGTTTTCTGCAATTTTCTTACCTGGTAATCTCTTGTAATACTATAAGTATCTCCTCGCTTGACTTTAATCCAATTGATTGTCTTTAAAGTTATTTCGGTCTTAAAGTCAAACGGCCTTGTCTTTTGATATTCACAGATATCATTTGCTTGAGATCATTTTCCAGATAAAAAGATCAATTTCCAAATCGTTATTCAAAATAGTGAGCAGATATCATTCAATTTTAAAACCGGATATCGTCCATATTGTTTTGTAATACAACATTGACTAACTCACTGAACTATAACATTTACAAGTTTTATTTTAATTTATAATTTTAAAAAGTCCATTTATATAGTCTTCCTCCCGTATTTCATTGCTGTGCCGTTTACATGAGAAATAAAATAGCTTTTAAAAACATGGGCGCTGATCGATTGAATATTTGTTTCTAACTTTCTGTTTACGGTTAAACTATTGCTACATATATATCACAGTTATTTTTGCAATGGGATCGTCATCTCCAGACGAAATGACCATTAATTTCACGATAATGAAGGGAATTATGGTGCTTCTCATGCACTTATCAGCTGAAAAGGAAGATAAAACTACGTCTACGTTACTACGTAGTACGGTCTTCTACACTCCGTACCACCATATATGCATGTTTATTTACGAAACACTCGCCTACATAGTGCATAAAAAAGCTACTAAAGTTATAATATGGAAATGATGACCTAACATACAATAAATGCTATTTTTACTTCTGGAACTGATCCGTAATTGTTGTGTAGCAAGATCAGAAATCAGATAGTTCATATAATTATATAAAGACAGTTGGCATGAAAAAAGACTTGAACTGCTTCTCGAAATATTACATATAATTTATGATTAAGGTTAAAAATTTACACAGTTATATACACAGTTTAATAACTTGACATGCTTTCATATTTTGACTGAAAATGAGACATTAAAATTACTACTCTAAAAGCTACCTCAGACTAACATGCAAAAACATCTGTTTCAGTATTTTAACTGAGAACAAGAATGTATTTATTTTGCCAGAACATTTAAGATTGGCGTCTTGGCAACTTCGAAGAAGACAGGGTGGGAGTATTTTGAATGTATTGTTTTTAGGTTTTTTTTGGGCTGAACTGAAATAAGGACATTGAGTTTTCCTACAAGTTCCGTTAGGTCAGTGCGGGAATAACCAGTGTAATATTCCAAGGTTGGAGTCCACGAGCCCAACTTCTTCATTGCCATTGCTAACGCAAGACATGCAGCTGCCATCTTTGAGGATTTAAGGGTTATAAAATCATATTCTAATAACGAGGTTTCAAGTATATAACGAGCCAATGTCAGAGTTTCCATGCTGGCATGAGCAGCCTAAAAGATAAATAAACAATAGAATACTGCTGTAGTCAGACAAATAGAAAAATTAAAAATTAAGACCCGTTACCTTAGCATATCGCCTTAAAAATCTATAAGGAATTGGAATAGCTAAGCAAAAGTCTAAAGACGCAAACACTCTCATTTCCATTTTGAGCAAATCTGCCTTGTTATAGGCATCGTCACAGATAAAGAGGAAATCGTCAAGATAGGGAGGATGCTTTTCCTACAAATGAAAATCATGTCAGTGCTTTTATTTCACCAGACATAGCATTCATCATACAAAAACATTTACAGGAACAATATACCTCAATTTTGCAAGCCAAAAAAACTGCTGTAGCACCTAGCAACTGAAGTTGGTCTCTTTCAATATCATTCTTCTCCAAATAATGGTCAACAATTTTTACAGCAAGATACAAAGTCTCATGATATAATTCAAAGTTTTCCTGAACTTCAACAAGCCAATCAACCAAAATAGCTCTCATGTTTCCATTTAATTTTGACCGTTTTGACATGTATGGAGTGAGAACATACATCTCCTAGAATGGATTGACTCATCAATAATAGCAATAAGTGCTCAATGTATTTGTGACAGCAATGTCATTATCGTCATACCTCACGATTCTTCATGTTCTTAAAAATTTCATTTGCATATTCAGCAACAGCGAATTCATCTGTCACATCCAAGTCTATGTCATCTATTTCAGCAGCATTTATGGTGGCCTAAATGGAAGCCATAGCTCCAAAAATTGAAATTTGTTGATGTCGATGAAATTTGATACTAACTTACCATTTCTTCTTCAGTGATGGAATCAACAGTTGAGCCTAGAGTTTTGTCACTAAATTTTATGATATCATAAATGTTATTACTTATAAAATAATTGTAAAAAGTTTTTTTTAAAAAGATATTAATTTTCAAATTTTATCCATTTATTATTTATTGAATGGTACAATATGCCAACACCTTTGGTCAAATTGTGTTTTTTCTGTGAGCTCTGTCAATAAAATATCATCTAGGTCTGTATCAGTAATGGAAGGTTTCTCTATTTCAACATTTTTTCTGCAAGTTGTACAAAATGTGAATAATGAGGTAGTAAAAGAAAACACAAATGAAATTGTCATTTTAACCCCACCCACCACCCACAGTATTGGCATAATGATAAAACAAATGTGTTATTACAACACACAAGCATTGGTAACGACAAACGAGCATTACCAATAACATACAAATAGAGTTTTTACCCTGCTCCTTGCAGTGTCTCCGCTTTGTTTTTGGCATTTTTTTTAACCACTGAAGCCGATTCCATGGATCTTTGTCGAGTTTGAATTGTTGATGATAGACGATTAGCGTTCTTCTCAACCTTTGGTTTAATAATGTATTTTGCTTTCGAATCCTTTGATACTAGTTCCACCTGTGAAGCCTATGAGTCATAATTTAGAAATTTTCAGTATTTTTAAGCATCCTTCGGTACAAAAGTTAACGGTGTATCTTAGGTCTGACATACATTTGTCACATCGCCTAACGCCGAACGTTTCCTTGTGGGTGCGTTGTTCGGTGATTCTTCTGCTTGCCGTTTAGCATTTTCGGTAAATTTTCTAAAATCAGACGCCATGTACTTTGAAGTAGTTGCACGCGTTTTTCTTGCTGCTTCTTCCTATATAAAAATGAATGATTTCGTCAAGGTAAAAAGTTGTTTAATTGTGCAAGCTTCAAGCACACGACAACGACATTCCTCGCCATTCGAAAAGGGCTTTAAACAATGTGTACGTGAGAAGTCTTCTGCACACCTGAGTATTCTCTTTGTTTACAGCGACAGGAATTCGTTGTGATTTCATTCTGAACTTATTTCTTCTTTTACAAAATAATCTATAGAAAATGATTTTCTTCGACAACTTCTCCTTGACTTGAGATAGAATGCACTGCTGTGGAATCTCAGCTGAACTGGAAATCGAATTTGTATTACGCGGGATTTAAAATGCCTTTACAAGATTGGTCGACAGCATTAGATTCAACCAATCATCTTTAATTTTTCAAAACAAATTATGTTGTCCTTAGTAACCGCTCATGGCTGAATTTGGAATTTCCTACAAATTTCTAACGATTATTCTTATAAACGCCTGCACGTTTTAAGCAATCTTGCTTGCTCACTTTCACGTTGTTCATGCCACGATGCTTATTGTTTCAAAAATGGGCTGTTGAAATAGTTAACGATCTAAATGTATATGAGATCCAAAGTAAAATAATTCATTTGTCCATTGTAGCATTTTATAATGGACTGGAGGCCGTTTCTCTATGGCGGCTTAGCCTCAATGACTGCGGAAGTAGGTAAGTGATTATCTTTGCACATCTGTAAACAGCCTGCAAAGAAATAAGTGGCTAAGACTGGAATATTACTGAGATTACAAAGATGAGAGATTTCCTTTCTGCGTTTCTGATTATTTCATCGATCCATTAACAATCCTTTCATATCTTCGTAAGCAAAAGCTTTCAATTACTTTTTTTTTAAAACATTAGGTCAGAAATCTCCTTGCTGTGCAATTTGTTTTTCATGTCTCAAGGAATAATTCGGTGATATTTTATAAAATATAGCAACATTTCCCATTGACACAACAAAAACAAGACTTCAACTCCAAGGGCAACACATTGATATCACTAATAAAAAGATAAGATACCGGGGAATGCTGGATGCATTTGTTACAATATCTAAAGAAGAAGGTGGTAAAGCTCTTTATTGTGGGTATGTTTATACACAAAATTGTGCATAGGTCTTCATTATCAAATGTAAAAAATATCTCGTTTGAATATAGTGTTGCCCCAGCTTTATTAAGACAAGCAACATATGGAACAATAAAGATAGGAATGTATCATGGAATCAAAAGGATTATTGTGAAAGACCCAAAAGGTTGTGACTCAGGGCAGGTTTTCACAAAAAAAATGCTTTCACGTTTGTTATATGTAAAAGTTTTTCCACTGTAATATTTACAAAATTTATTTTAATGATTACAACTTTGACTGATATGAAAATTAATGAATACAGATTCAATCCATTCAAACAAATAACGTTACAATGCATTTGAGTGATGTGTGTTGTGTTATGTTTGTAGATGAGAAATTTTACTACAACATTTTATGTGGTGTGGTGTCAGGTGCAGTCGCTGCTGCCTTGTGTAATCCAACAGATTTACTTAAAGTGAGTATGGAGAATGAACTGATGCGTCTTTTTATAAATATTCCAATCATATGGCTTATTTCATTGTATTTGTGCTCTATTACTTCATTGCAAAAATTGTACATTTTAGGTTCGCATGCAAGCTCAGAGTAGTGATTTTATTCTTAAGAAAGGAATGGTTTGTTCATTTGCAGAAATTCTTCAAAATGAAGGATTATCGGGGCTTTATAGGGTAATGTTCACTGTATAATATATTTTAACCTTTGCTTCCCAAAGAATCACATCTGCAAAATGCCAAAAAGCTCTAAACAAGTGAGTGTTATCGGTATAAGCTCCTCGTATCTAATCTACAGGGTGTGATTCCAAATGCCCAGCGAGCTGCTGTTGTTGCTGGAGTAGAATTAGCAGTTTATGATTGGTGTAAGAAGAAAATATTGGACAATGGTCTTTTGCAAGATAACATGCTTACCCATTTTCTGTGAGTTCAATTTAAGTCAAGTCTCCAGGTAGCTACTGTAAATGATTTCAATGATAGAAGTTTGTGGAAATAAAGATAGTTAAAATAAAGCCCAATAACGTCGTACTGCAATATTAAAGAATTTTTTTGTACGAAAGGTTTTTTTGAATACATGTATTGATAGAGCTTTCTATTAAATGGATATAGCTCCAGCTTTGGTGCTGGTTTTGCAGGCGCTGTTGCATCGAATCCAATTGATGTAGTTAAGGTATTCTTTGTACTACAGAATACTAAAACTCAGTTTTTAAGACTCATTAAGTAGCTGAATGGTTTCAGTATCATCTCACTTACTTTATCAAGTGTTATTTAGACAAGATTAATGAACCAACGAAAGTTAAAACAGAACGATACTAGTGAAGCACAGATTTATAAAAACTCTCTAGATTGTATTATGATGGTAAGAAATCATGATCACCTGGTCAATTTCTATAATAAAGGATTATTTTTTATTCTTTTACTTTTCCAGACATTAAGAACCGAAGGATTTCTCGCATTGTATCGTGGTTTCATTCCAAATTTTGTTCGTCTTTGTCCTTGGAACATTGTTGTATCCTTGTTTAGAAATAAGTAATTTTTTGTCTATTTTTTTATCGTTCTTCTGCGATTTTAGTTGCTATTGACCCGCAATATACTATTTGCAATGACGGATCATCGTGGTTCGGGCGCACAAGTAGAAACAAGTCATTATCCTTAACTGCTGAATTCAGTTTTTTATGTCTTTTGAACAGTATAAGACTTTAGGTGATAAACTTTTGTGAGCTGAAATTTCTGGAATTCTTAAATAGAAAGTACTGATTAAAGTTAGCTTTCTGCATTATTGTATGAATTTATTTATGACAAACATTACATCTTTGAAATCTTGAAATTATGGCAAATTAATTACGATGCAATTTATTAAAGATCTTAGAAATTGTAAATAACGTCTTGTGGTGATCAATTTAGGGTTTCACAATGTTCATCGTTTCACACATTTCAGTAAATATTTTTTCAAAGTTAGCCACAATCTCACTAGGTTTCGGGATTATCGCTTCATCCGTCATTACACCAATACCGATTTGACCGTTATAGCTGAAAATTGACATCATAATTGCTATATTAGCTCTCGCTGGTGGCCAGAAAATTCCTCCCAAAGCTTTGTTGCCCCCAATGGTAAGAGGGAACTGTGGACCTGGAACGTTAGATAGGACACAGGAAACCTTTGACGAGAATATATCTAGAATTGTTTTAGATATGAAATGAGGCAGCAACATGAGAAGTTGGGTGGTTGTCGCTGCGACGAAAGGCTCAGCTGATCTCTTGATTTCGTCCATTCGCTTTTTCGTTTCGTATAATTGCTCAATACAATCTTTCTTCGACACGGGAGCCCGTAGAAATACCAAAGCAAATCGATTGTCAAACTTCATCGAGCTTTTATCCATTCGTATATCAACGGGGACAGCAGCCCACACATCCTTTGGTTTTTCCTCAGAATGATCTTGTAGGTAACGTCGCAGTGCTCCAGACAGACATGACGTCATCACGTCATTTACAGTCGTCTCAGTTCGATTTTTTATTTCTTTCACGGTAGCAAGTTCAAACTTTTTTGACCATGATACTAATTTCTTTCCATTTAACTGACTCCCGTGGATTTCAGAGTAATCTCTGGGTGAGAGGCATCTGGAAATTACGGTCAAAGGCCCAACAAGTGCAGCTTTGGTCAACATCAAAAAACGCTTCTTTGTTGAAAATTTTATTGGTTCATGATGGTTTAGAGGAACATCAAAAAGATTATTCACAAAAAGTCGCGTCAAAGCGACTCCATCAGCGTAACTATGATGTATTCGAAATACAATAACGTGTGAATCGTTGATGTCCGGCGTTGGAATTGAAATAAACTCCCAAAGCGGCTTTTTGCGTTGTAAAATCTGTGAAGAGATTTCTGATATTACATTCTCTAAGTCTTGCATAGTTTTCGGTTGTTTTCCTCCCCATAACTGCACGTGGTTTTCAATTTTGAATGCTCCGTCTTCAATCCAAACGTACTGTCCGTAAAGTACATCAATACAACAGGTTAAACGAGGGCAAAGCTTTTCGCCATTTGCTCGCTTGGACTTCACCAAACGCTGGTTAACCAGTTCTTCCAAATTCTTGAGCGTCAACCTACCCGCCAAGAACATGACGGCATTTACAATGTGTAGATTAGTACTTCGATCTTGTTGCCAAACCGCATCGTCAGCAGCAAGGGGGATTGCTCCCTTTAGATAAATCAGACAACGAACACCTCCATGGTAAATGAGTAAAAGCAAAATAATCGGTAGGAAAACAGGCAGTAACAAAACACTTGCTATGAATGCAAGAACACAAGCGGCCCAGTAAATTTTCATCTTGCCTCTTGAAGTTCGCCAAATGAAATACCCTCTTGCATAAAATGGATAAGACTACATACACCTAACAGAAAACTGAGTTAGTTGTGTTTAATGTAGCTTTTATTGCTCGTGAATTTAACTACTGCTTGGTATTAGTTGCTTTCACGTTCAAGTACTTTTTGTCACCAATAAATTATTTAACAAATCAGTCATCAGATAAAGATTATCAGTCGTACACGGCCGCAAGGGAGTTAATTTTCGCAAACACATGCGTCAAAGCAGTGAAAAAATTTGTAAATATAATTATTCATAACAAACATGCACCACACTTCTCCAATGTGCAATCTATTCGATGCATATTGGCAGCTTTGTGGCAAGTCATATGGTAAATAGAACCATATAACGCCTGTTCAGGTAAATTGACTGGGACAACTGACTGATGAGGAGAAACACAAGTAACATGTCACAAGCTGTGACAAGCTGAAAGGTAGCTACCAGAGGTATCGGTGACACTTTTTTTCATACAAAACGCGTTTTTTGATAGAACCACGGATGTTTACAGCAGCCATTTCGTACGTGAAACTTTGCATAAAATAAATAATGCAAAATGCATACAAACTCATAACGAGAATTTTCTATTATATTATTATTTTACTTTGAAAGATTGCGATTCATTTCATTCTGTTTCAAAAACTAAACAATACAATAATAAGTAGGAAACTACCTTCTTACTTATAATATAGCATTACGTATCCTGGCAAAACATTTTACATGCGAGCAATGCATGAAACTAAAGCCTCATTTCCACCTATCGCACGAATTGGCTAAGGCTGCGTTTACACTATATCGGATTCGTTCATCACATCTTCATTTGCATTAAAGGGTTAACTGTTCGGAGTAAAAGCTTATTAAGATGATAGATTTAGTCTATTTGACTGTGTTCCTGACGTTGAACAATGTCACTGCCTTTTAATACAAAGAATATTCAACCTGCTACGATGGTAATCCAGTATAGTGTAAACGGGGCCTAAATGCATCATTTAGATTTAAGATAATGCTTAATACTATAAAACAGCAATATTTACAAACTATCGCAAACAAGACAAATCTAATTTACAATGATAAGAAAAAGAAATTTTAGGACGTCTATGTCATGCACTAAACGTCTTCATTTTACTTGCAATTTCGTTGTCTCTTTGCACTGCTTTCGTTTCCGTAAAGGCAACACCTTTTATAAGTTTAATATCACATTCGCCAGTCTTTATATCGTATGCTAGATCAAGAAGAAAATCATCCTCCTCATCGAAATTTTGTACAATTTCTTCAGTTATATCGACGACACGTCTAAAACAAACAAATGAATAATCACAAACCCACTTCATGTAGAAGCCGAAAAAACCGTCGAACAAACACAAAAGAAATTTCAAAAAACAGTCGCTTCCATGTTCATTGCATGAAGAAATGATCTTTACATGAAAAATCTTATTGAAACATTGCCAGAATCGACTATTAATTCTAAATGATATTTCTTCAATGTAATTTTTTCTACGTGACTTTCTTTGAAATTTCTTTGTAATTTTTAAAATTTCTTGGTAAGTCACAAAAATCAGGCGCATATTGAATATAAATTAAAAGAGCTTTGATGCCAAACAAGCTAAAACAAAATCATTGACAAAATGACCAAAGATCGGTTTTAGCTTTGAAAATAAATAAAGTTGGCATTAAAACACTTCCAATTTGCACGCGCAGTGCAAAACAATAACAACAGGAAATAAATATTTAACATCCACATGCCCCTGTGCGCAATCAGTGAAATTTCTGTGTGACAAGAAAATAATAAAAAAAGATTTTACTTCAATCAAAATGCAAGGTTTTGTACGTGTCACACTGAAAAATTCAACGATTAGGCGCACATGAACATTTTCACAAAGACAAATCCAACATTAACAAACATATTGTTCATACTACAAGCCGTATACAATATAACCATTCGTAAATAACGAATAAACCTTTATAACTGCACATCCAGATTTCATCTGCAGTACGTAAATGTGGCAGTTCTTCACTTAGTTCTCTAAAAAGACATTCGGCATGCAATGGAAATAATAAATTAATTTTGTTCACATAATAAATTTCTCCATTTCAATGTCCACATTCTGGTGGGGAGGTGCACATTCATTTTCACATCACAATGATGTTAATGGTTTATATTTCTTCCACAATAAACATCACCAAAGTAAGGAGATGTGTTGAGAATTATTCATTCACTTCATACTGACAGGAAAATGTGTAAATGTGTAAATAGTCATCAGCTATTTAATCAAATAAGTCATTGATTATGGTGATTAATAATGTTTAATAAATTCAAGATTCAAAGAAATGCCATCCATTATATTCATGGCATTTTGATAATCACCAATGAGCCGTCTCAACTTTTCTGCAATGATTCACTTCTTAAAGTATGCTACAGACAAAATCTCATCAAAATCTTTAAGAGAAAACACATATAGACAAGGCTGCTACAATGACACTGATAACTGCCTTGAAAAAAAGAAGTTTACCAACCCAACAAACTTTTATTCAAAATTAATAGCTTGTAAATTTTTAATTTCTAGTTCTGGGTAAAAGTGGGAGAAAATCCAACCACAGTTGTCATGAGACATCAAAAATTAATTAAGAAAAATTCTAATGATGAACTATATGCACACCACCAGAATTTTGAATGACAAGTTTGTAGCACTTATCAATTAAATATTTATCACAGATTAATATTTCCAAGTAAGTTATTTTATTTTCTTTGTCAAGTGAGTTTTGGCATTTAATCATGATAAAATTATGTACATAGTACAATCTGTAGGCCATGATTATGTAATGAAAAATATTGTTGTTGTATATTTCAAAACATTAAATGATATCCAAATTGCAGTCCAGGCACTAATAGAAGAGACAGCAGAACTTTTCCCTCATTACACTGGAATATTTTTAAAAAAATCAACATTGCATCTATTATGAAATTTACATACTTCCCATAATGAATAACAATAATGGATAAGTGGACCTTCATGCATAGAGAATGTTGATTTATAAAAATACATTATGGATATTTAAAAACAATTATGGATTTTATAAAACACAATAACAGAGTTTGGGAAAAATTTCCTGTGGTACCATTCTAAGATTTATGAATAGTCTCCAAAACTCATGAATATAATAATTGATATAAAATAAAATCAATTAAATTTATTCACATAGCAATGAGGTCAAATCAAGTTGTTCTTTTAATTAATCAAACAAATTTAAATCCTTATGATTGTAATTTAACTAGAAACAACAGTCCTTACTCTCAACAAGAAAAAAATATTATCACATCTAGCTTATATTTCATAAGATCAAAAATCTGCATTTGGTTGCACAAAAGGACAATAAATTACTATCCAACACATAACTTGCTATCCAACAGACAACAAACAATCCAATAGATAAATTCTTGTTAAAATAAAGTTGCTTTGAAGATGAAATGCAACATTTAAAAAAAATTGCACCATATAACATGCCAGTTTGGTATTTGATCTTCCCAGAAGATACAATGTGATAGTTTTTATCCAATGCATTTCATCCACAGAGTAGCTATCTATTGAATAGGATGTATATTGTAATATTCTTTGGATAAGATTCATTAATCGGATAATTTATCCATCTTTTGTGCAACAGACCCCTTTTGTCCATTATAGGCTGTCAAAATTAAAGCAACAAAAACCTGGGTCACTGCTACTTTATCACAAAGACAGTTTTGTGGTAATTTAATCAGGTTCACCCAAAACAACGTACAGCATCTTAAACACACTAGTACCGCAAAATTTCTTAATCTGATAACTGGTGATGACTGTGTTATTTTTTAACTGAAAATAATTCTAATTCCTTTTATGTTAGTCAATGATATTTGTCGTAAACCAATTGGATTCTATCTCATCTAATTTAGGACAGCCTACATTGGCAAAAACCAATAACAAAAACAGACCATTTTAACTCGCGCAATAACAAATTGACAACCGCTGGTTGTTAAAATAACTACGTCGACCTTTTCTTTGCGTGACTACGTCATGGGGGAGTTTCCTCCAAACCGAAAGAAAAAGTTGAGTGACTAGTTCAACAAGATAAAAGATGCCATGGAAAAATGATGAAATCAAGTGAAACGCCGATCATTTAGTGGTGTATTAATACTCCAGTAACATAAAAGCTTGAAACTAAATTCTAGCTTACCGTTCTCTTTTACGTTTTTGACATCTATCATTCGACACATACTGCATATTTGTGACACAACTTGACGAAAAATTATATTTATCACCAAGCGCTTGTTTAAGTTCTTCAACTGTCTTTTGATTAAGTCTGATAGCATTGTATACTTTCTCCGTTTTACTTTTTACATAAATTGTAAGTGCAGCTGGTCTGCGCCGACATAATCTTGATTTCTTCGCACGGGGAACCAAGTCCAAATCGTCCAAAGCGTTTACAGCCTTTCGAAATGCCTCAAGTAAAGTTCCTTTTCGTAGGCGACCTTTCGTATTTTCCATAGTTTCTCCCAGCCTCCGACGGGAGCATTTTGGACATGATGCTCCACGTTTACAAGGCGGAAAAGTAGATACAGTTTTAGAATTATTATGAGAAGCCGTTTTCGACACAATATTAAAAGCGTTCACAACCATATCCTAGTCGAAAAGAAGACGAGTCAAACTAATAAACGCAAGAATTCGCCAAGTATAAATGCTAGACTCGCTTGACACAATTCCAACTCAAATAAACTTCGACCTTCTACAACATCCTTCCAGTATAAGCAGGTTCGAAGTAATATCACTCGTCACTCGTCAGGCTTGTTCATTCAAGCAATGCAAATGGGCACGAAACAAGAACTTGTCTAGCGTCAACAATATATTCAATATGATGTAGAATATATGAATGCAATTATAACAAAACAGCTGCTACATTCGTAGGCGTCCAAGCACGAAGTATAAAATGTTGTTAAAATTTTTCTCATCGTAAGAAAACATAATCACGGAAGTGACATTTCAGCCTGGCGTACCTCTCGTCCTCTCCTTACAAATAATATGGAAAATATGACTTGGGAATCTTTACTTCAAACAAAGAGCAAGTGCAATATTCGAAGTTAAGTTATCATATCAATAAAAATACTTTTAATATTTTTTCATTTAAAGCAGAATTTCGAAAATTAAGTGTTCTCTACTTGACTCGGCACCCCTCCCCTGTGAAAGTTGTTACGTGCCATCACGTGAAAAATGCATGAATTAAGACCCGCAGTAAAATCACTTGATACTAGATGGACAAGAAAGAAACAAGTTTTTTAACACACGCGAGAACCGGTGAAGCACGAGACACGTTATACAATATACATATCATATATAAATTTCTGTTCGTCACTTGCGTGTCTAAAAAAAGACTATAATATAATTACGTAATATTCCGAAGCGCGTCAAACAAGACTGTTATTCGAATAATTAATAATTATTTTGAGATTTACATTCTGTTTTCTCCATGACAAGGTTTTCGATATTTCGACGCCAGTCTTCCAAGTTCCAAGTGCTTCACATTTTTGTACAAGATTTATACAGGTCAGCCGAAATGTTGCTGAATAAGTTTAGCTAAAAATAAGTCTTTTATTTACCAATAAACATTGGAATAGTTATTGGTAAGCCGAGGAGTTATGGTTTGGTCGTATTCATTAGTATGTATTCAAAAAGCAATAATCTTCATATTTACATGTTTTAGAAGTAGATCGTCCAGCTTGGTGGAGTCCTGAGAAGGATTCTGTAGTCATCTTCAGAGTCAAGTGTATAAGAAGTAACAACATCAACAGACAGTCCTTCTCAGGACTCAACTAACTTGGATGACCTAGTTCTACTAACATACAACGATACTCCTGGATTCAAGACATTCACTCTTAAAATCTTACAGTCGCGGCAGTAGAAGCGTTCCGAAAATATTTCATCAATACATTTGCTCAGTTTTATCAATTGATCTAAAGAGTTCCTCAACGAATCTCTTTGAAAAACTCCTAACTTTCTGCTATTCCTATTTTGAATTGACCAATTTGCACTGTTTTACAAAGATAGCATATTTGACGCATAACGAACTGCCAGCAGACGTCATTAATTATTTCAGCGACGTTCTTTTTGGTGCTACCAATGTATGATAAAAGCAGACAACCACTGATTTCATACATAAAGATCGTAAGTAACAGGTTGCAGAAATTAAAATAAATATAAAACAAGTGCCATGCTAAAAAAAGTTTCCAACTCCCAGTGCATTTAAAAAACGTCACAGTTATCAAAGCATTACTGACAACGTGAAGTTCTATAGTCCAATTAATATACATCGTGACTCATTTGTAAAATGGGACTGTTCAAATATGGCAGTCGATCGATCTGTTGTAAATTGTCTTTTCTGGCTTAAAATTTAATTTTGGATGTGCGATTTAAAAAATTGAAACTTTTCATTGAAAAAGCGACGGCTTAGTCTATTATTTACTGTCATATCTGTCGATTGTAAGTGCAGCCACTTTACTTTTTCAATACAACGTCATCCAAAAGTAAGAGCTGATAAACATTTAAAAATGCACAACTTTGCCGAAAGTAAATAATTCACTTACTAACATCCAATCAAAGCAGCTTCTTCTCATACACACTATTGTGATATTGTTTCTTTATGTCGACTTTCTAATGTGATTGGTTAAACAGACTTTGCCTCCTTTGCCTCACTTATATCAGACAAGATGATTGCGACAAACTATAAAGCTTATCGAGGAAATGTTGGAAGTGTACGTAGATTTTTTCTTAACGACGACTGAAAAGTTAGGCAAACATTCGCTATGATGTGTCTGATTGTCGATTGCACTGTCTTCGATGTTTATAACATTATTCAAATGAGATAAAAATAAAGTTTATAAAGTGTGACTTAAGATTTACCATAGACAACAACAGAATGGCCAGTCTCAGGATGCTAGTACGGTATCGATTTCTAATCATTGTTTCACTGTTGTTCACCGTAGTTTTTATCTTTTATTTTAACATACTATACCAGAAGAATGCAAGGTTGACATCACCCATTTTTGAATCGAAATCAATAGTTGTTGAAAGTAATAGAAGAGAGTACTACATATTAAATAAAGAGTTTTTCGAGTTTTTATCGCGCACAAGCATGGAGTGCTTAATTCGAGTAGAACCAGACGAATCATGGAATGGAGAAGCTCGCGTTAGAACGAAATTAATTGATAATCACATACTATACGACGAACATTCTTCTACCGTATCGAATAATCTTACTGTTAAAGATTTGGAAAATATTCCAACGCATCGAAGTGAAACGTCTGAGAGAAAATACATCCTTGTGTTTCATCATTTTGAGCAACTCGGCAAGACAACAGAAAACCTGTTACAACTTGCAGCTCTAGCCGGTGATTGGTCCAGGATTGTTGTAGAACCTGAAGTCAAAAATTCGAGGTTTTACATGCATTCAGAACCGAATGCTTACCCAATGGAAACCTATTACAACATCACAAATCTAAATGTACTGTTGCAAGCAAATGGTTATTCAAAGCTTGTTAAAATGAGACATTTTCGTCAAGACTGCAATTTTAGAAATCACGGTGCTAAAACAACCTTAGTACATTTTCTTTACAGTGATGTTCATAAGGGTAACACAAAATTGTGGTTCGGGAAGAACGACAAAGATGTTGGCGAAATTGTACGCAAGACCTTATCTAGTGGCTGGACTGATTGCCATTTTATACGGCGACATCTAACTGCGACAAAAGCACTGGAAGGTATTGAAATTGGACGGCAGGTGTGTGTAAATCCAGAGATTTTACGGGATATCAAGGAGTTTGAGAAGAAAGTTTTGCTTGGTGACAAATGTGTAATTTTTACAGAATGGCGAGGTTTGGGTAAGCAACGTACGCATTTTCATCCAATATTTTGGCCATTCTTAACCCCAGCAGATCTGAAACACCGTATATTACTGAGTGACATAATCAGACAAGAAACCGCTTCTTTTATTGAACGTAATCTTCCAAAAAACTTTATTTCTGTTCATATGAGAACCGAACGCTTGTTCGTAGCAAACTTGTACAAAAAGTTACATTATTGTGTTGATCACGTTCTCCACCTGGTTAACATTCTTCGCTCACTTCGTAATGTTTCCACTGTATTTCTTGCGACAGACATGGTCAGTTTCGGTTCAGATCTTTTTGATCGCAGGAAATTCTCTATTAAAAACGTTACTGGCGAATATTTAATAAGCCGGGAAGACATAACTGATATACATCATGATATAGCTCGTCGTTTAAACGCAGTAACATATCAACCTTCACACAATCCTTATACAAATGATAAAGGAATTTTTTCCCTCGTTGAATTGAGCATATTAAAAAATGGTATAGATCTCGTCACGCTTGGCTCGGGTACTTTTCATGCCTGGATTGTTAGTGCTTTTCAACATAATCAAATTGAGATTCGACGCAGTGGTTATACCATATCAGAAATATGTGGCTCAGAAAACTATTAAAAAAATCTTCATTCATATCCAGGATCGTAAAGAACTGATCTTCAATTTAATTGTACAGTTGAATTATAGTAATTAATATTAAAGCTTTTATTAAATCTTGAGAAATTTTACTCACAAAAATTTTAGTTATAATAAATAAGTATATTTTATATTTTTTCGCTATATATGATGCTGTATTGTGGGTTACACTTAGGACATAGCACTGACAAAAGCATTTTGCCGGTCAAATATTCCATTTGAAAAAGATATTGTAAGTTTTATACAGACGAGGATATTTCATTTCATTTCCTCTTATTCATATTTTCTGAGGAAAGATCTCAATACATAGAAGATATTCGACCAGTAACATGCAGGATGAAAAATCTTACTTTCACTTTCAAGATTAAGTAGAACTTTTTGAAAATCTACGATATACAACTATCGACTGAAGGGTACAAATTACTTGTGACAATAAAACAAGAGTAAAACTGTGTTCATTATCTTTTTTTATTAAGTTATCACACAGGAAAGACACATAGGAAACAGCTATCTCCAAGTAATGGTTAAAATACAGAAATCTAAATAACGATCTGTTGTCATAGTTGCGTTTTTAGCTAAAAGTACACTATAAAGATTATGAAGTAGTTGAAGATATTAAGTCAATAATTAAATTAACGAGTTCCGTTATTACAAGTCACAGTCTTACAATATAATGTCGGACAATAATTAAATTAACGAGTTACTTAACTATAATTCTTTGAAAAAAGGAATAATAATAAACACTGCAGAGAATTTACCTATAGTCACAAAACTAATTAAACGACACATGTAGACTATGCAGTCTGAAAGGATTTTTAAAAACTAAAAACGACATTCAATCGTATGGGAATTCGAATAGATTTCTTAAAATTTTACACTAATAGGTTTTCATACAAATAATAAAGGTAGCTAACTATTATTTATATTCCTCACATGTAATGTTTGTATTTTATTTTTATGTGTTCATTTCATATATTATATAATTTTACAATTATATGACTACAAGTTAAAATATGCCCAACACAATTAGATTTTCACAGCATGCAATCTTTAAGTTTCTTAAAGTTTCCTACGAAAACGACAAGATGCGTTACTGCTGTAAACTTTTACGCACCATATGTCCACGGAAACTGGCTTGAATTTTCACGGCTGCTTCGTTTTCTTGATCGTTTGTAAGAGTATCAATTTCTTCACTTGTCTCTGAAAGAACGAAAATACTTTTCTTTAAATAACAGAAGTCAGTTCAAACTGAACTACAATTTATTTTGTCGTTGTTTGGCGACTGACTGACAAATGATATACGATTGCCAAAATTTCACAGCGTCACTGCCATTCATTGACTCTTCAAAATATGCCATATAGCAACAACGTGATTTATGATCATGAAAAAAATAGTTCTTCACTAGATTTCGTGAATATTTATTGCAAAAGACAATATATTATTAAAACAAAATAATTAAAGATAGTTAAAACACTTCGTAACTATTAACACTAGCTACGATAGTTGAAAGGTGGAAAACAGAGGTAAGATGGGAACCCGATAATGTTGGAACAAAGTATACACCAACAGAAACTGCTATGATTTATAAATGTGTTATGCATATCATAGGTAGGCCAAAAGTAAAACTATTAATTCAAGGATAGTGCAAAGTTTCAAAAGCACACCGCCTCTACACTCGTAATTTTAATCAAACATAACACGTTTCACATATATTTACTTCATTTCCCCATTATGTCCCGTTTAATTTTTATTCATGAGGCAAACATCCATTGACTTCATGGCAAATAAAGAAAATTTTATTTAAAACCTATCACATGCTATAGTCTACATAGCCACTTGTTTTCCACGGTTTTAGAGAGTAATTTTCTTTTTATCAACGGTGTCAATGTCTATGGTGGGGTATTGCCTATTTGGCTTTTATGTATGGTTGGGCACGGCAAGCCAAGGCAACGAATTTGAAGATGCATTTGTTGAAAGAAGCTGAGGAAGAAAGACGACACTCCAACGATAAATATGACTGAATACTTTCACAATCCACTCGACCAACGATTTGTTGGCAACGAATGAGTTCATACCCATTTACTGGATAGCTTTTTACTGCTCGGGAAGTTAATACCTCACTCAGTCATTAACTATTAGAAATATTATCCATAGTCGTGGTAACAACCAACTGGATCTACTTGCACTGATTTCAGAGTAACTACCTCGCTCAGTCTTAAATTGGTAGGATATTGTTAGAGCATGCACTTGCTGCTGATTTGTAGTCGACAATTGTCCGAGTATTCAAGTTAATGTCGATCAACAACTGGATTTACAAGCACTAATTTTGGAGTAAATTGCTCTCATAGTCACAAATTATAAGAGAAATTGTTTGAGTATGCGCAGTCTGCTCAAGCATGCTTAGTCCGCTCGTTGACTTGCTTCAGTTTATCGTGATGGTAAAATCTAAATGCACGAACTTGCAATGTTTTAAGAGTAACCGGCTCACTTATTTAAATATTACCAATGTGATCTCAGCATGCACAGACCACACAACCATTTTTAATTCCAACTTTAATCCAACACATTTTTGATTGGTTTATATATTTCTAAATTTAACACATCATCCATAGAATTCACGTCAAACAAGGAATATCTGCTTCCCTTGTCAAGACTTCAAAGCTTTTACAATGAAAACATAATTAATAATCACTAGCGATGCAAGGATAGGGCAAAGCTTCTTTGAGGGAATAGAAAACAAATGTTAAAAGAACAAAGACAAAACAACACGTTGAATAGTTTATTTTCCATATCGAATCTATCAGTGTTATAATGCTATAGATATGGTGTAAAACGCTAGTGTTTTGTCGTTCGGGTGTTAATATACAGTCGGGACAACATCAGATGATGATGATGATAAAAGAACAATCAGGGATATATTTTACCTTCACGTGATTTCAGTTGCTTTCTTGCTAAATGTCCTCGAAATCCAGCTTGAATTTTGGTAGCGGCATTTTGCTTTTCAAGATCATCGACATTTACATCAACATCTTCCAGCTGTAAAAGCAAGTAGTTATAATCAAAGACTTGTCATGTGATCTTGTATGAAAACACTTTATTGAGCACAGATTTAAACAAGTGGGCGGCCTTCAACATAGAAGATACAAAAAAGACCTATATATTTCACTAGACAAAATTAATATCTACTACCAGTATCAACCTTCCACTACTGAAATCAGACTTCTACTGCTGGTTTCAACTTTTCTTTATCAAAATAAATATCCGACTACCAGTACCTAGCTTTCAATAACGATACCAATACCAACCCTTCTCTAGCTCTTATGCTATCTACTCCCAATCCCCAGCTTTTAATTCTTCATGATATACCAAACTTTATGCTTTAAAAGTAAAATCAAGTACCGGTTTATACTAAAAAAGAACTTAAATGTCATATAAACCTTTGGAAACTGTTTGACTCAATTATTTTCTTCAAGTAAAACAAATTAAAACTTTTATAAACAGAAAACAAAAATGACATATGGCACACGAAAGGTTATGTGTACATAGATATGCATATGTAGATAGGCATACACTATCGCAATTTGCATTTATGAATGTTCAAAGCAGAACGAAGACAATGTATGCATTTAAGCGGCTAAGTATAGCTGATAACACAAGATATGCCAATATTTCAAGTCACAGCGCTCCTATTGTAACCATTATTGTAACGAATACTTATAGAGAACTAAAATCGTATTATGTAGAACCCTAGCAAGGTAAAAAAAATATCAAACAAACTTTATGACATGTAGACAGCTGCCTTATGCGGTAAAGCTCCATTCAATAGATCACCTGTGCTTTATCTTTAGAAAGATCATCCGAATTTTCCTTCGAGCTCGTTGTCTTTGAGTTCGATTCAACTTCGCTGGTAGCCGTTTCAGTTATTCGAACGGCTTTGGTCTTTTTACTCGAACTAAAATTTTTTTTATTTTCGACTTGAAAATCATTTTTACTTTGACAGGTTTTTTTTGCAATCGACTCATCGGTGATTTCCACTTTTCCATTATTTTCATCTTTTGAGCCCGTGCTGTTATTTTCTACTTCGGAATTAACTTCTTTCTTGCTCAGCTTCCGTGAATAACACTTTCCCATAACTACTAGACGTTTTACCGCTCAAATAGCTACTGCGCAATGCACACTTATTGATTATTTCCTATAACGTTATCCCATTCATACGTCACTACATTTTGCCATCAATGATTCAGTAAGACGCTTCTTGGCACAAAAATACTACTATAATTTATTTAATAATAATAAATACATGCATGCAGTCTGTTGATTAAAAATTGCCATGTTAAGAAGAGCCTGATGTCAATTTTGCAAAATCACACAATACACTTCATAAATGACAAAGCAGATTGATTTTTGCAAATCTCGTTATAACACTGGATTTGGATTATAGAATAGAAATAAACTAACAATAGAATTTGTCGGCGTCATACTTAAAAATTTTTTGATACGTATGATGTTTCACGCAGAATATTGGAATAAACACTGAATGGACCGAGTTTCGTAAACTATCATTACCAGTGAAAGATTTCCACGTAAAATAGCGGTGGATTGTCAGACACTCAAAAAAATTTATACATAGTTTCTTAAACTCTCACCTCTTGTGCTCCTTTTAGTTCTTTTCTCGCTTTAAAACCACGAAAACCAGCTTGAAGAGTGATAACAGCATTTTGAACCTCTGGATCTGTAAAATCTACGTCTATTTCTTCTTTTTTAATTTCTCCCAAATGCACATCCTCACAATAGTCAGTTCGAAAATTTTCAACATTTTCAAGCTCTTCATCATTTAAACCAATTTCACCATCCACCTCATTTGTTGCTATATGCTCCTGATATTCCTCATAACCTGCTTCCTTAGCCTCCTTGTGTTCAAGATGTCCTTCATGACCTGCTTCCTTGGCTTCTGAGTATTCTTGATGTACCTCATAACCTGCTTCCTTTGTCTCTGTATGTCCTTCACATTTCTCATGTTCCTCATGATCTGCTTCTTTTGCCTCTATATTTTCCAGAGGTCCTTCATGACCTACTTCCTTTGCCTCTATATGTTCCTGATGTCCTTCATGACCTGCTTCCTTTGCCTCAAGATGTTCCCCTTTGGACTTAATTTTTTGTAACATAGCAACCTCTTGCCTGGATTTATAGCCACGGTAACCAGCTTGAATGACAGTAGCAGCATGTTGAATCTCAGTCTTGTTTACATCAAAATCCTCTTGCACCTTGTCAGTTGCTTCAGTTTTTGTTTTAGAATCATTATAACCTACCTGGATTGATTTTGATGCATTCTTTTGCTCAGAGCGCACCTTATGCCCACGATAACCAGCCTGTATAACAATAGCAGCCTTTTGTTGCTTGGGATCATCAACATCAACATAGGAGCTCACATTTTCTTTCTTCATTTCATCAAATTCTTTTCTTGTTTTATAACCACGAAATTGAGATTGAATTTTAACAGCTGCATTACTCAATGCTGGATCATTGAAATCAAGATCAATATTTTTCCCATCATTCAATTGTTCCAAAACATTTGAGCGCTTTGCATCATCTTGGCCAGTTACTAGAAAGCATAAACAAAAATTACTATTACGTATGTAACAATAACTCACAGTGTACAACTTAATTTAGACTTCAACTTTACATTCTTCTTGAAAGACGTTTTATCAAAAGGCATTAAGACGACATTAATTATTTGTGAGGTAAGTTTACCACAATATTTCAAACATTAATTTGCGCATTTAAAAAATGTTGCTCTTTGCACTATTTTCATGTATTCATATAGGAAAAATGTTAGGAGATTCTATATTCTAGGTTAGTAAAAACATCTCTTGAATTAGTAGTATTTAGTATGATTTAAAATAGAGAGAAATTTCATTAATTCGTTTTGTTCTGTCATTGCCCTCTCTTTTTATGCTTTTGGATCAATTTTAACATTGACACAAGTCTTGTTCTGCTTTGGATATGTTACTTCATAATAGCTCATATAAAATCCTAATTATAATGAAAAACTGAAACTAATAAATAAATTATTTTAGACATTGACAGCATGAACACCAAATTAATATTTTGCACGGCAATCATGAAAAGGAGGGTAGCTACGTGGTAAAACTACGATAAAAACCCATCCGAAAATAATTAAATACTAAATCACCAATTCTTTGATTTATACGCGCATTATATTTGCAAAAATTGTATGAATGGCAAGCAGTCAAAAAGTAGAATTATTAATGATCTTTTTATTTGCTAAAACACCTTAAATTTAAAAACTTTTTTTCATACATTTTATAAAAGAAATGACAGAATTGGTAGAATTGCAATTGTGTATGATTCATGATATACAATTTATGATTCTTCAAGAATTGTACAGCACTAGATTTATCATATAAAGATACTTTATAGGTATCTGCTGTCTGTAGTGCACATAAGAGAAGTCATTACATGTGATGAATATCACCAATCTACAATTTTACCATTATACATTTCCTAAATAAGCTGAATGATGTACATCAAAAAATATCATTTAAATGACAGTTTTATCCTCATTTCAGAAAGACTTGCAATAGTGCTAACATCAAATCGAAACCGTAAACCACATTTTACGTACACAAACGCACATAAATGCAACACGCATCAAAGAAAAAATAACTTAAATCAATACAGAGGACTGCAGAAAAGAATTTTTTTTAAGTTTATAAAAGAATACACAAGTACTCACGTTCACGTTGCTCAACTAAATTTCTAAAATATTTTGCACAAAAATTCACACAATCGCGTGGCTGTTCTCTTAGAACCTCTCGTGCAACTCCTTCCAACAAAGCTTGAAATCCGGGTGGAACCCTCAGCTTATTCGAAGAATACGAAACAGACATATTTTCTATTGGCTTTGATATCAAAGCAACGTTCGTTTATAGATGCGAAAACAAAAATGAAATTATCTTCAATATTCATCAGCGGTCATTAAAAAATCATGCCATAGCAACTACCAATAAATTTCTGTAAGATTACATTGACGACCTTTCGTGGCAACAATATTTCCCTTCATCTTTTATTCCATTTTTGTTGTATTTTCTAAAACGTCGTGTTTCCACTTTCATTTTCAATCTTCAGCAAGTTTTTATAATTAATGTTTGTAAATAACTGGTAATTGGTTATATCGAGATATTCAACTTATCTTAAAAAGCTTCACATTTCTACTTTGATTTTCATAATAATTTCTTCTACATTAACAGAGCATTCAATTTATTTTGAGGTAGGTGACCAACATTTGTTACATTTCTTTGAAATGAAGCGAACTTTGATTGAACACTGAAACGTACCTCCTATTTTTGCTTGTTGATCTTTTATTGAATTTCTGAGCTCATCTTCAGCTCATGTAAAATTAACAAGTTCAAATTGAATTTGTTTGAGACGAAAATTAATGTTCAGTTCATCAGTTGGAAAACGAGAATAGGTCGAACTAAGTGAAGAACGTTTATAAAGCATTTACTACCCACCCTTAGTAAACAATGACGATAGCTCATAGCGGCTGCAACTTGTAGAACCTGACTACTGAGAGATCCGTAGCTATAGTACTATTAGTATTTTGGATTGCAAATTTATTACATTATAACTAAATTTATAACTAGCAATGAATAATCCAGCTGCAGATCCAGTACCTGTGCAAGATGTAGAAGGTGATGGAAGATGGTTAAGTATGGTATGTATGATCATAAATAACATTAAAAATAATTCCTTTAATATTTTGCACAAAATCTGCTTGAACTCAATACATATAATCAATGACCCTAACCCATATTATCTTTGGATCTATGCATTTCTCATTGCTCCATTATGTTTTTTCATTAAGCAAGTATTACACAAGAAATAGACACTCTGTATAAAGTAAACATTATTTAATCTAAATGTTTCGATAAGTGCTACATGTCATCATCAGTAGAAAAATACTAATACTAAAATACTCTTTGGCAGTCGTAATTTTTTAACCAAGTATGTTATTGTACATTCAATGTTAACATTGTGAACATTGTGAACAGTGAGGTACTTAACAAGAAACCATATCTGCAATTGATTGAATTTCATTTTTAAATCTAGAATTGCATAATGTAAGTGGTTCAGATGTTCATTGTACTCAATGTATAAATAAAATCTTGCAAACTGACCTCTTGTTATAATTTCCATGCCTCATCTGAGCCAAGTGGTGTGTAAAATATGGTGAACTATGTGCATATATACTTTATGTAGTATATCTTTGTTATAAGCACACAATCTTTTTTGCTTTAGGGAATTTAAAATAACTGCTTACAACAAAATTGGTATAATAATATATCTTTGGGCTTAGCCCAGTGATATGTTATTGAAAATTTAACAATTAGCCTATTTCTAAAGGTCGTCAAATAATTCACATAAAAACATTATTAGACTACTCTTAGCAATCAAGATATGCATTGAATCAATATTATTATGTACATTTAGCATAATCGTTTTATAAGAAAAGGGAAAAAAATGTCAGCAAATTGCAATTTGGTATTCATTGGTGATTCCATTATACAAAGAATGCAGGATAAAGAGGTATTCTAGCATTAAGTATATTGCATTAAATGCCATGTGGTCGAATTTTGTTAATTATTATGATTAATTTTGCTTTTTTATATGATTTAGTTGAAAATGTTTTTTAATGTGACTTGCAAAATGAAGTACCGACTTACAGAAGTAGAGTAATAGCTTAGTATGTTTAGTGTATTAATTTCAGAAAAAAGTATGTCAATTCGTAATATTTTCTTGCTCAATGAATTATTGCATTTTCATGACAAAACTGCTGACCCAGAATTTTTTGGGAGGTGGGGTGGGTCACTAACCCAACTCCTCCAGTATTTAAGCCCATGATTAAATATGAAGGGGACATATGTACAATTTTGTTAAAGTAATGAGTAGTTGCTCATACTTAGTTTCAGGTACTTTGCAGATTTGGACAAAACTTTTTGAGCCCCTGGGTTCTTTGAACTTTGGAATTGGAGGTGATTGCACTCAGCATGTCTTGTGGAGGATTCAAAATGGTGAACTTGAGAACATATCACCTAAAGTTAGTTATTATACAGTTGAAATAAATGAGTCATTCATATTGTACAATTTTCTGTTTATGTGACTTTTACAGGTTGTAGTTCTACTTGTTGGCACAAATAATGTTTCGAAAATGCCATCACATACTGCTGCTAATATAGGGGAAGCAATTGAATCTATTGTGTGGTACATCAATGGCATCAATTCAACTATTAAAGTATTAGTATTGGCAAGTAAATCATGATTTTCAAACTATTTATGATAAAGGCTTGAAAAATTCAATGTAGTATTCTCCTTCCTCAGGGCATATTACCACGAGGTGAAAATCCAAATCAACTTCGAACAAAAATTATGGACATAAACAGTCTACTAGAATCGTCCATCAAAATTATACCGAACGCGACATTTTTAAATGCCGATCCTGGCTTCGTTGATAGCGAAGGCAAAATATCAGAAAATGACATGTTGGATTACTTACATTTAACGCGAGCCGCATATGAAAAACTCTGTACAAAAATTTACGAAGCTCTTATTAGATTATTGAAATATTCATAATGACGACCAGAAACTATGGATTGTAAATTTTATTGTCTTTTAAAGTTTTAAATAGAGGTAGTGAGCTTTACATTTACTAGTAATGATGCAATCCATAATTTAATATTTATGTAATTACTGTTGCTCACGGAAGCCGAAACAAATTTCATTTGACGATGAAAATTACTAATCATAAAAAATATCAGCTAATTCATTAAAATTTCTTTATCGTAAAAGTAAAAATAACCTATAAGTCACTATTTATAAAATAACTTATTCTTTATAGTAAGTCTAATGCATTGGAGGCAGACATTGCAGCACTAATAACAGCTTCTTCCTCAGTCGAACAAGAAATCAAACTTTCGTAAATTTCTACAATATAAAAGCGCAACAACCCAGTAAAAGGCGGCTGCTTTTCTTCTATGCAAAATTCTTGCTTTGTTTCCCCCTTTTCAGATTGAATAAATTTATTAAACCTGCTGCTTGCGTTGTCCCCATTTGGTATTGTCTTCTTTTCATTTTCAAGTCTCTGGATAGCCATTTCAACAAGACACTTTTTTAAATCTTTTTTACTCGGTTTTGACTCGTTGCATTTTATTTCAAATTTCTTCTTCACTTTTATTTCCACGATAAATTCTTCATTATCCAGTTGCTGTGTTTCATATTCAGGATAATCTGAAAAACCAAAACCCTTGTTATATTTATCCAGAGTATCTTTACGGGAGTAATCCATGTCGTGTTTTTTCTCTTTCATGATGCTAAGAGCAATCTCAGCCACATGCTTTTTAGCTTCTTTAATTTTGCTTTTCTGTCGTTTACCAATGAAGCATCTTCTACCCACAAAAACTTTGCTTAAGAAGCATTCTGTAGTTTTATCTTTGCTTTTAATAATATCATACTGCACCTTCAAATTTCTTTTTTCCGCGAATTCTTTCAAATCAGTTTTAAAATCTTCAGGCAAATGAACGATCGCCTTGGTCCCAGTTGTTGTAGAGTTAGTTGTGGTGTTTTCTGCAACCTCTAACTCCTCTCTTGTAGCCAAAGTAGATGTATCAGAAGGCGATTGTCCAACCGCATTTTGATACGATGTGTCAATTAAACTTTCATCAACACAAGGTACTATTGCTGTGGAGGAGTCGGTGTCATTGTCAATTTCTGTTGATTTGAGGTTACAATACTTGTAGGCTTCCATTGCAGCCATTTCTTGAGATTTCTTCTTACTCGAACCCTCACCTGTGAACGTCTTTCCCAAAACTGTTACATGACTTTGAAACTGACCACTATCCAACTTTTCATCTTCGTATTTAGCAGGACTTTTTTCATTCTTTTTCTGTAAGTATTCATTCAGTTGACTCCTATAATTTTTTTCCTTTTGCAAATTGTCACCAGGCTTTACTTCAATTGATGTACATGGTTGGTCACAGTCATCTGCAGGTGTTGATTGATTTGAATCTTCATTTTCGTGCATTTGTAGGTAATGGCATGAACTTTCAGATAAATTCCCATCAGTAGAGTCTGTGCCATTGACACACACTTTCTTTTCTTCACTGAAATGGAACAATTTGCAGATATTATTGAGACATTCTTACATAACTTAACATTATTTTTGTTCTCTTAATCTAAGTTTGTTCTAATTTCTATTTATGTGACAGTTTAATCTAGCAAATCCTACCAAATCCATTGTAAAAAATACTCTTAGTAAAATAACTTTTTTTGCTACATAATTTGTATATCCTAGATTGACAAAATAATTTCACTTACCTTTCTAAGAATCGCAACACAAACTCCGCTGCCATCTGCCGGGCATCAACTTTTCTTGTCTGAGGAGTAATGTCTGGCTGTATGTCCTGTTGTCCAAGAAAATTTACTGCTACCTCTGCTGCACTTTCCTTAGCTTCTTTTTTTGAGGACTTGGGTTCCTTGCAAGAAAAGGTTTTCCCATCAAACAATACATTTGCCGTGAATTTTTTACCATCAGAATTTTCAGTGTATTTGGGTGGCTCCTTTTTTTTCTTTTGAGCAATATTATGCAGAACTGCTGTATACGATGGTCTTATGTTAATACCATTAACATAAAGAGTCTGCTGTTGTAAATTTTCTATATTCAAAGTTGGAAACTTTTCATAAATGTATTGAACTTTTCCCTTCAATTCACCATACTCAAAATCTATTGCTGAAAATTTGGCATCATATTCCTGCTTCATTCTTTTTACATCTTTCTCCACATCACTGACTTTTTCAGAAAATCTCTGCAGATCGTTATATTCTTTGAAAACTTCTTTGAAAACCTTAAAGCTATCAAGCTCAATATCTTCTCCATTCTCTTTCAATTCAACAGCTAACTTATAACTTTTCAATACTTCTTCAAAACATTGCTCTTCATCAACTTGCTTCAATTCAAACTTACAATTTTTCAAGGACTTGATAAATTCCACTGTATTCTGACATACTTGTAATTTCTTCAGTTCTTTTTCATCTTCCAAAAGAGCAATGACTTTGTCCACCATATCTCTCATTTCCTCTTCAGAAAGAGACATGTCTGCACAATGCATGAGTTTATTTCTTACATTTCTAACTTCTTCAGCCAATTTTTTCTCTTTTAATCGATTATCCCTTATTTCTTTGCAATTCACTAGCACATTAAGTATTCCAGAAAGATCAGTATTTTCAGGTCCAGTGACAGCACGGGCTGTCTCTTTACTACCCTGAGCATTCATATAACATTTAGCTATTTCCCATGCAAGCTCATGCCATCTCGATGGATCAGTATTTTTCCATATTATCTTACCTCTACAAGATTTCTTTATTTCCTTTACCCACAATGAACAGCTAAGACATTTAGGCTCACCTTTATTTGTATTACATGCCGCTGTTTTAGTGCAAGTTCCAGGTCTAACCACACTTTTCATCTGTGAGTGAACCTACTCGATTGCTTCTTTAGTGAAGCCATGCAATGCTTTCTTTGCCTCAATTAAAGCGCGAGACACTATAATCCAATTTTTATATCCAGGCTTGTTCATACGTTCCTGCCACCCTTCATCTGCCATATTGTTACGTTAACAATAAAAGTGAGCTGCACAAAAATTACACAGAAATCCTATTTTCCTTGTTAAATAGCGTCTGCAATAAAAACAATCGAAAATTAATATAAAAGAAAAGTTGCAAAACAGAGCCGTGAACAATTACGATCTACTAACGTGAAATCATTTTCAAACTTCTCACTCATTGCTCGGTTCTTTACAACATGCTATATCCTTTCCGCTATATCCTTTCCAAAAAGTATTTACAATTCAAGTATATACTAACTTATTTATTTGCATGAAATCTAGAATTGCATAATGTAAGTGGTTCAGATGTTCATTGTACTCAGTGTATAAATAAAATCTTACTAACTGACCTCTTGTTATAATTTCCATGCCTCATCTGAGCCCAGTGGTGTGTAAAATATGGTGAACTATGTGCATATATAGTATATCTTAGTTACAAGCACACAAGCTTTTTTGCTTTAGGGAATTTAAAATAACTGCTAACAACAAAATTGGTATAATAATATATCTTTCGGCTTAGCCCTGTGATATGTCATTGAAAATTTAACAATTAGCTTATTTCTAAAGGTCCTCAAATAATTCACATAAAAACATTATTAGACTACTCTTAGCAATCAAGATATGCATTAAATCAATATTATTATGTACATTTAGCATAATCGTTTTATAAGAAAAGGGAAAAAAATGTCAGCAAATTGCAATTTGGTATTCATTGGTGATTCCATTATACAAAGAATGCAGGATAAAGAGGTACTCTAGCATTAAGTATATTGCAATAAATGCCATGTGGTTGAATTTTGTTAATTATTACGATTAATTTTGCTTTTTTATATGATTTAGTTGAAAATGTTTTTTAATGTGACTTGCAAAATAAAGTACCGACTTACAGAAGTAGAGTAATAGCTTAGTATGTTTAGTGCATTAATTTCAGAAAAAAGTATGTCAATTCGTAATATTTTCTTGCTCAATGAATTATTGCATATTCATGACAAAACTGCTGACCCTGAATTCTTTTGGGGGTGGGGTGGGTCACTCACCCAACTCCTCCAGTATTTAAGCCCATGATTAAATATGAAGGGAAAAAAATGACATATGTATGTGCTGATTAGCAATTTTGTTAAAGTAATGAGTAGTTGCTAAGCATACTTAGTTTCAGGTACTTTGCAGATTTGGACAAAACTTTTTGAGCCCCTGGGTTCTTTGAACTTTGGAATTGGAGGTGATTGCACTCAGCATGTCTTGTGGAGGATTCAAAATGGTGAACTTGAGAACATATCACCTAAAGTTAGTTATTATACAGTTGAAATAAATGAGTCATTCATATTTGTATAATTTTCTGTTTATGTGACTTTTACAGGTTTTACAGGTTTTAGTTCTACTTGTTGGCACAAATAATGTTTCGAATATGCCATCACATACTGCTGCTAATATAGTGGAAGCAGTTGAATCTATTGTGTGGTACATCAATGGCATCAATTCAACTATTAAAGTATTAGTATTGGCAAGTAAATCATGATTTTCAAACTATTTATGATAAAGGCTTGGAAAATTCAATGTAGTATTCCACAGGGTTTATTACCACGAGGTGAAAATCCAAATCAACTTCGAACAAAAATTATGGACATAAACAGTCTACTAGAATCGTCCATCAAAATTATACCGAACGCGACATTTTTAAATGCCGATCCTGGTTTCGTTAATAGCGAAGGCAAAATATCAGAAAATGACATGTTGGATTACTTACATTTAACGCGAGCTGCATATGAAAAACTCTGTACAAAAATTTACGAAGCTCTTATTAGATTATTGAAATATTCATAATGACTACCAGAAACTATGGATTGTAAATTTTATTGTCTTTTAAAGTTTTAGATAGAGGTAGTGAGCCTTACATTTACTAGTAATGATGCAATCCATAATTTAATATTTATGTAATTACTGTTGCTCACGGAAGCCGAGACAAATTTCATGATATTAAATTTGACGATAAAAATTACTAATCATAAAAAATATTGGCTAATTCATTAAAATTGCTTTATCGAGACGGAACGATAACTCTCCCAAACCATGATGAAAATCAGATCATGAATATAAAAATATTCATTAAAAAAAAGTTAAAATAACCTATAAGTCACTATTTGTAAAATAAGTCTAATGCATTGGAGGCAGACATTGCAGCACTAATAACAGCTTCTTCCTCAGTGGAACAAGAAATCAAACTTTCGTAAATTTCTACAATATAAAAGCGCAACAACCCAGTAAAATGCGGCTGACTTTCTTCTATGCAAAATTCTTTCTTCGTTTCTCCCTTTTCAGATTGAATAAATTCATGAAACCTGCTGCTTGCGTTGTGTCCATTTGGTATTGTCTTTTTTTCATCTTCAAGTCTCTGGATAGCCATTTCAACTAGACACTTTTTTAAATCTTTTTTACTCGGTTTTGACTCGTTGCATTTTATTTCAAATTTCTTCTTCACTTTTATTTCCACGATAAATTCATCATCATCTTGAGCAGGTTGTTTTTCATATTCAGGATAATCTGAAAAACCTAAATCTTTGTGATAATTAACCAAAGTATCTTTACAGGAGTCATCCATGTCGTGTTTTTTCTCTTTCATGATGCTAAGAGCAATCTCAGCCACATGCTTTTCAGCTTCTTTGATTTTGCTTTTCTGTTGTTTACCAATGAAGCATCTTCTACCCACAAAAACTTTGCTTAAGAAGCATTCTGTAGTTTTATCTTTGCTTTTAATAGTATCATACTGCACCTTCAAACTTCTTTTTTCCGCGAATTCTTTTAAAGTAGTTTTAAAATCTTTAGGCAAATGAACGATGGCCTTGGTCCCAGTTGTCGTAGAGTTAGTTGTGGTGTTTTCTGCAACCTCTAACTCCTCTCTTGTAGCCAAAGTAGATGTATCAGAAGGCGATTGTCCAACCGCATTTTGATACGATGTGTCAATTAAACTTTCATCAACACAAGGTACTATTGCTGTGGAGGAGTCGGTGTCATTGTCAATTTCTGTTGATTTGGAATTAAAATACTTGTAGGCTTTCATTGCAGCCATTTCACGAGAGTTCTTCTTACCCGAACCCTCACCTGTGAACGTCTTTCCCAAAACTGTTACACGACTTTGAAAATGATCATTATCCAACTTTTCATCTTCGTATTCAGCAGGACTTTTTTCATTTTTCTGTAAGAATTCCTTCAGTTGACTCCTATAATTTTTTTTCTTTTGCAAATTGTCACCAAGCTTTACTTCAATTGATGTACATGGTTGGTCACAGTCATCTGCAGGTGTTGATTGATTTGAATCTTCATTTTCGTGCATTTGTAGGTAATGGCATGAACTTTCAGATAAATTCCCATAAGTAGAGTCTGTGCCATTGACACACACTTTCTTTTCTTCACTGAAATGGAACAATTTGCAGATATTATTGAGACATTCTTACATAACTTAACATTATTTTTGTTCTCTTAATCTAAGTTTGTTCTAATTTCTATTTATGTGACAGTTTAATCTAGCAAATCCTACCAAATCCATTGTAAAAAATACTCTTAGTAAAATAACTTTTTTTGCTACATAATTTGTATATCCTAGATTGACAAAATAATTTCACTTACCTTTCTAAGAATCGCAAAACAAACTCGGCTGCCATCTGCTCGGCTTTAACTTTTTTTGTCTGAGGTGTAATGTCTGGCAAATACCATCGTCCATCAAACATAATGTCAAATGCAAACCCTTCTTTTGTATCTTTATGATGATAGATGGGATGAGGGATTTCATTTTTTTGTGCTCTCTCTTGTAACTGGTTTTTATAGCTTTTTGAATTAAGCAAGTGGCAATGTGCTTGCATATCACCTTTATTGATGGTAGCTTCCACCGGTTCATTGCGCTCTACGTTGTCACCCTGTTGTCCAAGAAAATATACTGCTGCCTCTGCTGCACTTTCCTTAGCTTCTTTTTTTGAGGACTTGGCTTCCTTGGAATAAAAATTTTCCCCATCAAACTGTACTGTTGATATGAATTTGTTATTACCAAACTTTTCAGTTGTGTATTTGGGTGGCTGCAGTCTTTTCTTCTGAGCAATATTATGCAGAACTTCTTTATACGATGGTCTTATGTTAATACCATTAACATAATGAGTCTGCTGTTGCAAATTTTCTTTATTCAAAGTTTGAAGCTTTTCATAAATGTATTGAACTTTTCCCTTCAAATCACCATACTCATAATGTACCTCTAAAAATTTGGCATCATATTCCTGCTTCATTCTCTTTACATCTTCCTCCACATCACTGACTTTTTGAGAAAATCTCTGCAGATCTTTATATTTGTTGATAAGTTTTGCAACTTCTTTGAAAACCTTCTTAAAGTTATTGAGCTCAATATCTTCTCCATTCTCTTTCAATTCAACAGCTAACTTATAACTTTTCAATACTTCTTCAAAACATTGCTCTTCATCATCTTGCTTCAATTCAAACTTACAATTTTTCAAGGACTTGATACATTCCACTGTATTCTGACATACTTGTAATTTCTTCAGTTCTTTTTCATCTTCCAAAAGAGCAATGATTTTGTCTACCATATCTCTCATTTCCTCTTCAGAAAGAGACATGGCTGCACAATGCATGAGTTTATTTCTTACATTTCTAACTTCTTCAGCCAATTTTTTCTCTTTTAATCGATTATCCCTTATTTCTTTGCAATTCACTAGCACATTAAGTATTCCAGAAAGATCAGTATTTTCAGGTCCAGTGACAGCACGGGCTGTCTCTTTACTACCCTGAGCATTCATATAACATTTAGCTATTTCCCATGCAAGCTCATGCCATCTCGATGGATCAGTATTTTTCCATATAATATTACCTTTACAAGATTCCTTTATTTCCTTTACCCACAATGAACAGCTAGGACATTTAGGCTCACCTCTATTTGTATTACATGCCGCTGTTTTAGTGCAAGTTCCAGGTCCAACCACACTTTTCATCTGTGCGTGAACATCCTCGATTGCTTCTTTAGTGAAGCCATGCAATGCTTTCTTTGCCTCAATTAAAGCGCGAGACACTTTAATCCAATTCTTATATCCAGGCTTGTTCATACGTTCCTGCCACCCTTCATCTGCCATATTGTTACGTTAACAATAAAAGTGAGCTGCACAAAAATTACACAGAAAATACAGCGTAATAAATCAATCAAGGCAATTTACTTTCATTTTCGATTCGCGAGAATTGTAAATTAGTAACATTACAACTTTATAATAGTGATGCTGCCACTTGGTTGAAATAATTTTTCAATATAGCAGCTATACCTAAATATAAATTATCAATCCAACCATCAATAAAATAAACCAATTGTGATACAATATAAATTTGAATCAGGTGACTCATATAGAATTTCTTAATATATAGTTATGAGTTCTCTTTTTCTCATCGTTAAAATATTACATAAGTTGATTTATACAGACCACAAAAGTTGGATGTGACTGGCTCATAATGTTGGAGTATTATTTGTGCATATTAGTAACTCGTACATAGCATTAGTTTGCAAACCATTTGACATAAACATCAATTGATCTGTCCTTGAATGTGAACAAGAAACTCATAATAAGACATCATTGATTCTGTTCGGTCGTTCATTAATTTACTAACGAATTTCGATCGCATTCTGCTATTTTCCCTAAAAAATGAAATTTTGTAGGGTGACGCATGGCAATAAAAATGAATCACAATTGCCGTGATTGGCCAAATAAAACACCATAAAATTTTCACCTCAAAATATATAAATTTGTGTGATTTGTTCTCTCTGATCGTAAATGATCAATTAAGGCTCGTACTCTTTTTGACAAGCTGTTATCAAGGTTTGGTAGAGCTCCCTAAATAAACAAAAAAAATGTTAAATAGTTGTAATATATCCTCATGAATTTTTATCTTCTATTTAAAACACTCGAATGTAGGACTGATGGGTTGAAACGATTATTTGGAAATCTTAAGCTCCGCTGTGCCCCAGTGTTAATATCAACCCAGAGCTGAGATTTCACCTCCTCCCAGGGAGAGGTTGGGTTGTTCAACAGAAAAGGGGAAAAGTATGGACATTGAATAATCACCATGTCTTCAGGAATCGAATCGTAATTTGGTACTCCAAATAGGCATTGAATATCGGCCATTGCCGTTTCCTTGCCAACCCAGATATAAAATTCCTAAGTAAAAAAATCACAACGGTTTTTGATCATGTTTTTAAGGAGTGTCTCAATTTTGAATAAAATATATCTTCTTTCCTTCTTTTAAAGATTTACTAAAGATCTATGTCAGGTATGAAAGGATTATAAATAATAGCTAACCTGTCCAGCATCCATGAGAAATATTCCAACACGAGATAGTTTTTCAGCAGATAAAAGTAGCCTAGATGGCTGTGGTACACTTCCAAACTTAGTCGTAATCGCACCCTTGACACACAAAACGAGCTTCGTTAATTTAATAAATAACATGAAAAAAGGTTGCTACTGAGAGGATTAGAGGAAGCGAGGCGGGTCATACTTAAACGATAATTCAAGAAATGTTGATTAAAACTATGTATATTATGGAGAAAATATAGTGAATATTGTAGTAGAAATAATCGAGAGAATAAAAAATTTTGTAGTAAGAACACTTACTTCATCAGTCATATTATGGAGAGAATAAAGTGCAGGATAAATCGTAAGTAAGGCGACATCAAATGGCATCACTTTAAACTGCTGCAACTCGTAACATCGTAAATCTAAGGTTGCCGTTGAACCAAGACGAAATGATGTCTACAGACGAGATAATTAAACACGTAAGCACAACCATTTCTCAAATCTAAGGTTTATAGAATAACTTTGTATGTATCATCGATGGCATTGACATACCTGCTTCATTAAGGACAAAATATACAAAGGCAAATGTCGAAGAGAGTAAGGAGATGTTATCTCACCATGACGTGCTGAAACAGCAGACTTATACACACCAAGACAATCAACAACTGCATTCAATAATGCCTGAAAACCAACCCAGAAGTATTTAGTACTAAGGCAAAGGATTGAAAACAATAACAAGTGAGAGATAACAAAGGATGAAGTTATGACGGCAATCTTTTAGAATTACGTACGTTATTTCATGTGGGTATTTATAGTTGATATCATTAAGTATATATCTCATTTATTCGTTAATCTGAACGATGTTGTAATTTGTTATGTGGAGTATATTTCAATTTCATCAAGTAACAACTCAGCAAAATTAGGTCGTCAGACATTAGGGTTGAAAAATATGTTAACCGAGGGCAAATGATGACACGCTATCTGGATTTGGTAAATAAACATGGCGAGAAACGAGGAACGGCTTTTGCAAAAAGCCAACACCAAAAATACTAAAGTTATACCTCTCTTGCATCTCCTAACGAAGCAGTTAACATTCTGTCAACAGCTGAAACAAATAACAGACAAAAAAATTGATTTAAATCAATCCAGTCTAATCGCACGTGTTCAAATATCAATAAACAACAGTTCATGAACTTTGCACCACAAACATACATATTGAGAGTTAACACATTAGACAACCTTAACTCTAACATTCTTATTGTTGAAAGTTTAATAAAAACTTGCCACATAAAATAAGTTGCTTACCCATTTTGGAAAGCATCAGAGTAATGGCACATGTATTAGCGCCTGCAAAGACATCGCTCAATTTTTTGGTGATAGGCAAAGCCAAATTATGCACCCTGATCCGTCGCTCTCCTTCAAGAAAATTTTGGAATGGTTAGCAACAGGCATACAGAGTTTATAAAAACGATGATTTTCAAGCTGTATTAAGGACAAACATACAATCAAACACATTGTCAAGCAAATAAAATATAAATACCTTTGGAGCTTGTGTACAATAATGCTGACTGAAAACACGCAAGATCAGAATTTGAAAGATCATCATCAATAGATATCTGCATACCAAAGGCTGAATCTGGATTAACATTGGGTAGGGAAAGCAGATCCGTTGAACGAACAAAGAAGTTTCCGTGAAAGTGTGAATGCTAAGACCTGGTAACGAGATAAACACAAGATTAAATGGACGACCGTATAAAGCTAACTTAAGAAAATATCACTAAACACAATACGTTCTCGTAAAAATTACCTCTAGTACATCGTACTCTCATTACAGCTTCAAATCCTATTTTCCTTGTTAAATAGCGTCTGCAATAAAAACAATCAAAAATTAATATAAAAGAAAAAAAGTTGCAAAACAGAACCGTGAACGATTACGAACTACTAACGTGAAATCATTTTCAAACTTCTCACTCATTGCTCGGTTCTTTACAACATGGAAGTTTGGAAAGTAAGAAAAACATCCCCCAGAATACTTTGAAGCGCACACTAAATTTAAAACGAACTACATTCATCAAAATTGTTAATGTTATGTATTCAAACAATATAAAAGAACAAAAGACGCTAATATACAAGATTGACACTACAAGCAACATTTGTCATCAAATTCAACACTCTAGATAGCATAGCTGAATAAAAAGTTATATGACAAGTAAGTTTGGGCTTCACTTTTGTAATGAAGTTATCGCTCCAGATATCTAAATATTGAGTTCACCGTCGCAATCAAGGATTTCTACATATGAGAAGGTACGTTGTATGTCGAAGGCTTTTTCATAGTACTTACTCAACGACGAACAGTCAGCATATTGACCAGACAGTTGGAATATATCAACTGATACTTGATCTGCAGCACAGTCCAACGCAAGCTTTTTGTAAAAATCCGTAGATGGATTCAATTTACTTGAATCCTAAATATACAGAATCAAAAAATCAACAACTTTGAAATCTTTTTTCTCGCGCAAATAATGTGCAAAACGGTTATTATCATAGAGATCACTAAAAGTTGAAGTGGATTAATAACCTTTGGAGACGATTTAACACCGTGTTCATCACGATTTTCCAAAGCACCTGGTCCAATATTTGGCAATGTAGTTTGAAATACTGTTACTCGTCCACCAGTTGGAGCCTGAAAACATTCGATAAACATTGGAAAATAATGTAAGATCATAAACGCATTCTATCAAACCAAATTGATGCAGACTGAATTTTGCGATAAATATAAAAGTCCAAAGTAAGGTTAATGAGTGAAAATAACTATGTACTTACTAAAAGTTTTAGGGCTGCTTGCATTGCAGCTCCAGTTGCACTGTTAACATCATGAGTTGATGAAAACGTTTGGGGTAAGCTTTCCAGAAATTGTATAATCATCTGAACATAGAAATATAAGAAATTACTTGTGGCTTGATTCTAACAAAACTTGCATTTTGTTTAAATGATGAAACACAAGAACCCTCTAAATTCTGTGTTTTATCCTTTTTATGTGATGAATCAAAGATAGTTGTTGACAAACTGCGCACAACAGTCGGGATTAAAAACTAAAAATCTACTCGTAATTAACAGAAAACGTTTTTAAAATATATGTCATCGCAATGTGAAAATTAGCAATCCAAAGATAGTGCAAAGTTATAAAAAACTTCGACCCGTAATTTGGATCAAAATAAAATGTTTCATACAATTATTCTATTTCTCATTCATTCCCATTTAATTTAATTCATTTATCATGAGAAAAAACGTTCATAGTCAAGGCAATGATCAACTGGATGAACTTACACTACTCTAACAATAACTGGTCTCATATCATTAGAGGAAACATCATCTGAGCGTGCGCAAAACTCGATTAACTCTTCAAGTTTGTAGCCTTGGCAACGAGCAACTGGGTTTACTAGCACCTATTTAGGAGTAACTGGCTCACTCAGTACTGCATATACACCATATATACTGAGGAAAATAGAATGTCAATAATGTCAACAAGCATTGCAAACTGAGTGTCAGTAGGTTGCAGTGGCTAAGGGACTGGAAACTGGGTGACAGTTGGGTGCAGTGGCTAAGGGACTGGAAACTGGGTGACAGTTGGGTTGCAGTGGCTAAGGGACTGGAAACTGGTTGTCAGTAGGTTGCAGTGGTTAAAGACTCGATAGCTCAGTCGGAAGAGCGTTCGCCTGGTGATCGCAAGGTCCCAGGTTCGATGCCCACCCTCGCATATTCAGCGCAAATCGGGTAATCTGATCTGCACAGTAAAGTAGCAGGGAGCTGAGAGAAGGTGTGGCGATCCACCTCAGCATATATCTCCCTTGTCTAGCGCTAAAACGAAAAGGGAATAAACTTCCTCGTTGTTCAGCCTTCATCGACTTTAGGCCACTCCGCGAACTTTTTTAAGGGGTAATGACCAATTTTGCCGCTGCGTACGTATTACACCTCTGCGGTCTGATGGAATATTCAAAAAAAATTTACCTCTTTATTGTCTCTTAAATTCACCAAAAGATCTTCGGGCGCAGGTAAAAATATCTGATAAAAAAGACACAAAAACGTCGTTGTCAAATGTGATACTTTCAAGATCAAAAAATGCTTGGTATAAACAGTTGTTCAAGCACAGTTTGAAGCGTCAATGTTCACTTGAACTGGTCGTATTTAAGTAACAATGTCCAAATTGAGATTTATTTTACATACCATCTATATCTGAAACTATTAACATCTGAGGTTGACTTTGATCATTCTAAGACAGTGATAAAAGAGAAAAATACAATTGCAGTTATGTTCACATTGATCTGAAGTAATATGGTATAAAGACTTACTCGAAGGTTATAAAAATTCACAGATTTATTGAAAGTCAAAAATCCAACAAGGGCTCTTGAATCTCCAGGCATTTTATTCAGGTTTTCTTTGATGATTTCACATGCCATTTTTAGATATCCTATATCCGATAAAAAGCATCATTTTGAAATGCAATTTTGTTGCAATATTTGAAAATAAATACTGATAATTGCTATTAAAGTAATTTTTGTGACATTGGAAGGCAATTTATAAAAATTGCAGCCTGATTATGGTTAAATTTTTCTTACCAGTCTCTATAGCATTGAAAGAAACATCGAAGGCGAAAACAAATGCCGCCGGTTGAGGAGCTCTTAACTGAAAAACAAAAATAATCTTACAGTCATTTGGGGTTTGAATATTTGTGTGTTTTCAAAATGTCATACTAGATTACTTAACAACTTAGGAAAGTTTACTGCATGTTCTTGAAAACGATAAAATGAGCCAAACATGGAGTTTTTATCATTCAATTGTAACATGAGTTTTTATGTCAACATTTTGAGCAACTTTAACCGTGTAAAATTAATTGTTTCCTAGGTACTGAGTGAACAAAACGCCATTAAACATGGAAATATGACATTTTCTCATAGAATGCAAAACTGCACAAACCATATATTCTGATGGAGCTATAAATTCGTATGTTGCCGACTTAATTTCGGGTCTTCGCGTGGGTTCTCCATAGGATTGGGTGGATGGATCATAACAAAACTCCTGAGGAACTGAAAAAGTAAATACAAATAACTTAGATAAGACGTAAGAATGTACGAGATGTCATAGAATGCTGGAGACAACAATCCATTAGTGTACCTGCAGCTGGCTGTAAGAACCATAGCTACATAGCTGACAGTAATCATATTATACCTTCATTAATTCGGTAACACATGTTGCATTTCCAATGTCTTGAGTCAACAAACGTCACAAATGGATTGATATAAGTCCTACAGGACCGACATCGTACAATTGTACTGGACTGAATCACAGCGAGGTTCTATAAGGTAAAAGACACAGAGTGCTCAATATCAACAAAGATAAAGCAAAATAAAAATGCAATCATATACTATCGCATATTCACTGTTTTTTCGCAATGAAGAGATATATCAAGCACAAGCAACTATTTACAGACATGAAAACAAGTTCTGTATCAAATGCATAAGTGGGCAGTATAGAAAATATATTACTTACGGAAAGATCTTTGAAAGGATGAACAAGTATGCCAAATGGAAGCTTACACTTTTTCAATAAAGAGTCATTTTCAGGAGCATTACTTAGTGTGCAAGTCAAGATACTAAAGCATAAAATTTATTTAATGTTAATGATAATCTTTATAGGCAATCCTTTGTACCATACTTACTTGGGTTTAGCATTTTTCTTTTCTAAATCCTTATAACAAAAAAGAAACACTTTATGAACATTCATCATCAACAATTATTCAACAACATTGATGGGTAACAGACTGAAACAATTATTCAACAACATTAATGGGTAACAGACTGAAACAATTATTTAACAACATTGATAGGTAACAGATGGTAACAGACTGTAACAATTATTTAACAAGATTGTTGGGTAATAGACAGTAACAATCTTATTAAATTTTTATTGACAAAATTTGAGGTACATATATTTATATTAATTTTACTTACTGCATGTAAAGATAACTTGAAATCATCCTTCTGTGGAGACATTAAGTTCCTTGTGTCCATCAGATTAATGACTTGGTTATCGATAGGCTGACAAATTTACAAAACAAATTAACAAATCAACCATGTCATCTATAATTTTCCATCTTTAGTGTACCTGAACTGAAAGTTTCCCCATCTGTTCTTGAAGATCATTGCTCATAAAAGAGTTGGAATTTGATCCCTATGGCAAGAAATACAGATGATTATGACGAATTCAACAAATGAATATTTGTGTCATGTCAATATTATGTTTGGATGCGATTTCTAAAAAATTTTATCCACCATAATTCTAGTTGAAAAATTCAATTATAAATACAAAAACTATCCAAAACTTACATAAATGATCATCAAAATTTCATCAATAACTAGTCAACAGCTTTTTAAGCAGAAACATAACAAAATGCTTCATATGGGCATTTTATAACTGGATTATAAAAATGTAGATCTTTTCTTTGAGGCATATTTTTGCTTTCAAAAATAGAACAAAATTTTGTTTCTAAACAAATTAAAGCACTGCACTGTAAAATCAATAGAAAAGACTTACTTGACTTTTCATGGTCATTTGTGAACCATACGCTCCAGTAGATGGTGGCTGACCAGATGGCAAAGGTGCACTAGGAATATTCTGACCTGGGTACGAATTGCCATGGAACTAAAATATATAAATAAAGTACAAGATATAAATAAATCTGTTTTCCATTCCATTGCAACATGTTTTCAACTATTTTTCTAAGATTCTTAAAAATATAAATAATACAGAACCTGATTTGGATAAATTCTTCTTTTTCCAGACAAGGTACTGGCTTGACTTGATAACATAGGAGGGCCAGCTGAATAGTATAATTATGACAAACATGATGAAGTAAAAATTATAGACTGAGAATTGTATATGTTTAAGACTGGCAAGTACATGATTTTTTTTGCTGAATATAATTTGTCAAAGACTGAGAACTTAAAAGCAAAAGGAAATTAAATAATATGACATAATATTGTAAAAGGAATTCGCAAAAATATAAAAATAACAAAAAATATCTTTACCAAGAGAAGATTGAGTTGGTGGTGAAGCATGTGGTTGGCCACTTGAACCAACAACCTGGCCAATGGGAGGAGGAGGTTGAGTGGTCATGTGAGAGCTTGCAAAACCAGATGAGCCACTAAAATTGGTTCTAGGGCTCTGAGATATAGTCATAAGATTTTCAGGTCTTGTAAAGTTGCCAGGATTTCCAGCATTCATAGTTGATGCTCCTGTGAAGTTAGTAGAGGGGCTAACATGGCTATTGTTTATCATATGATTTTGTAACAAAGGTTGTCTTGCAGGTTTAGAATCTCCCACCATTGGAGGACCCAGATTAGGCATTAATGTAGGCCCAGTAGTCATAGTAAGTGGTGATTTTACTAAATTTCCAGACAAAGATGTCGGTTGAGCATTGGTAAAATCCTTTCTTTGTTGTGTTATGGCCGACCCTTGCATGTAACCAGTGGCAGTAGGTGGTGATGTGTATACATTAGCATTTTGTTGAGAAAGCGACATTGGATTAGGGAAGCTAGAATTGATGGGTGGAGGTGTCATAGAGCCAAATCTGGGAGATTGATTTCCCATGACGGGCAGAGGTGGTACTGAATTATTTAATCTTGAATGAGTCATCATCCTGGTTTGCTGATTATTTGCTAGATATGGTTGTTGTCCAGATAATCCATTTGAAGGACCATTAGACAAGGCACCATTACCTGATGGCCTTGAGCTGCCTAGAAAAAAATCAAAATCCAACACTATTGAATGACAATTAATGATTGCTGTGCAAAATTTTCATATAAACACATTTTCATATAAACACATGACAATAATTTTGCTGGTAATTTTATGAAATGACAGAGGTAAAAAGTAAAGAGAGTTTGTGTATGTCGTCAATGTCGGAAGCGTACCAGTACCAGCATCTGAATTTTCCTGCTTCAAAAATATTTAACAAAACAAAAAAGATAAAATCAAATTAAAAATACATGCAATTTAAAAAGAGTTTTTTTGCTGAGAAAAAACGATGATCCTAACTTTGTTGAATATAAACCAGTCCGCAGTCGTGTCATCGATCATTGTTCGTTTTCATACAAAGCCACAATACTTTATTGAAGTGAAATGAATAAAAAAAATTTACAACAGTCTTAGGAGTTTTCAAATGAATAATAAGAGAGGTTGTTTGAGTAGAGAATTGATTTGTTTGGATCGGAGCATTCTAACATGTACCACAAGATACCAGCCTCAATGAGATTCGTGTTTACAACGTTTACCTTGGTTAATCTCATATTTTTGAAAGTTTTCCGAGGGAAAACCAGTCCTCGACATCTTGCCGAAACCTTCAGTTACCCAAATAAAATTTTTAAAGACAAAAACACATACATTTCCAATGTTTTCCTGAGATAAAATACTTTAGAAAGTTTCTCTGACCTTTTTAGCGGTTTCCGCGGGCTCGTTTTCACAATGAGACATGCGCATCGCGCATCATATGCAAGCGACGTGGCAAGCAAGCCAAGTGACCAAGCTTCATCCTTTATCCATCACATTGCAGTTTGAAAACGGTGCCAAACTCCTAGGGTTAGGGATCGTTCGCACCGGACGAAAAAGTTTGAAACCGTACGCTAACCAACTAGAGATCCAAGAATAGGGCAGTTTCAACTTCCAAGCTAATATTGTCCTTTCTCGGATGATGGCATTGGAAGAACGCTAACCGTATGTGAAAGGTTTTAAAATGGGAACCCGGATACATATTTATTACCAAAACTAAGATTTTGAAAACAAACGGTCAACAGCTATATATCGGTTTGGGCATGGTAAGAGTATTAAAAAACAATCAGTTAGGCTAATGGAAATTTTTTATCGTACATACCTTGTAACGCATTTGCTTACCATTGTGGCAGCCAGTCAATTAAATTTCCTGACCTATAGAAACTTTGAGAATCTTAACAGAAGCCAGTAGCTAATGCAAGTAAATACACAGCACGGGAATGCACAAATAAATGGATCTACTCTTTACTGCGCATGTTGTAGTTTCGGCGAGCACGTAACGGTTAAGTGAAAATTTTCTCTATTAAAAATGACGGTGTGAAAATGGCACCCATCACATTCATAATTAAGAGAACCAGATAATCCTGTCTGCCATGAAGCCCAAGGATGGTTTGCTCGTGATACATGAGAAACAGTAAATGAGACAGTTAAATCAGAAAGATAGAAACCAATAAAAATTGTATAAGACATGTTTGAGGTTGTCTTAAATTATAAGTGTCAGTTGAAGTTTATCGAAACATTGCTTGGTTTATTTATTTTATGAGAAGAACTTTTAAAGTAAATGGTTTGAACCCGGAAGTATCGTTACATGTTTGTAAATGCAGATCGTCCAGGTTGGTATAGTCCTGAGAAGGACTGTTTTTGTTGTTGTTGACTGACGTTTCGACAATCTTAGCGGTAGTCATCTTCATTTTGACTCTGAAATGACTACCGCTGAGAACTTTAGTAAACAAAAAAATGAAATTCGAAAGCAAAAAACCCCGTTTTCGGTCCATGCTTCCCGATACTAGAACACCGCATTAGAACGCCGCATGTTAACGTTTCGATAGAAGATTTCGGCCCCTCCACGCTATCCTACTTGGGAGATGCAAGAGCAAGCTTCCGCTTATCAGACCCCGAGATCACCTGCGATAGGCTTTGCTCGGGGGCCGCGACCGAAGTCTGGGCCCGTAAGCCACTGCATACTATATCGCACCCAGCTTCTACTACTAGTTGACATCTACTATAACTAATATTGGCTTTATATATATACATACAAAAATTCAAAAGCTCACGAAAATTGTGGTATGATTGACATCGTAATTGCGCATGCTCAAATGATTTCTGTGATAATTTGCGACTAAGTGAGTTAATTGCCACAAATGTAGTGCAAGTACATATAATTAGTCGTTGCCATGACTATGAACAATTAGTTGAGTAGAATGCGCATGCCCAGATTATTTCTCTATTAAATTGTTACGAAGCACGCTATTTACTTCAAAATCGGCGATGGTAGATGCATTTGGTCGTTGCCATGACCATGAACTTTGGCAGCAGGTCAAGTCGACTGCCCATGCGCAGATGATTTATCTGAAAATTTGTGACTGAGCGAGCTAATTACTCCATAACCGGTACTAGTACATACAGTTGGTCGTTGCCATCACCATGAGCTTGGAGAGTTGGTGCAGTTGACTACGCATGCTCAGCAAGCTCATTTGCAAGCTCATTTGTATATGCGCTTAGCAAATTTTCGATCATATAATTTTGGCATGCTCTTTGTCATCTTAAGCTTGTTTTGACAAGTGCTTATCAAACTCATCAACACTTTGTTACGCCCACCTTCTTATCCATGTCACCACCTTCACATTCATGTCACCACCTTCACATCCATGTTACCACCTTCACATCCATGTCATCACCTTCACATCCATGTCATCACCTTCACATTCATGTCACCATCTTTACATCCATTCCCCCACTTTCTTATCCATACCCCCCCTTTCACATCAACTTCACCACCTTCACACTCATGTCACCACCTTCCCATTCATGCCACCACGCACAGTTTGAACTGAAAAACATTTCAAAAACAATAGTGCTTGCATTTTGTTTTAAAAAGAATGCTTACAAATACTGTATAGAACTTGTATTATTAAAATTCAGTCAAATATCGGTTTGATTCTTCATCAGATGTATCCCACTTCAGTTCTGCGTCATCTTCGTCAATTTCTGGCTTAACATCTATCCCATGATGTCCCAGGATTGCCTTCAACATCACCTCCAAACGAACAGTCCTCGTCTGTAGTGTTTTTAGCCTCGTTTTCATTTTGGTGACGTCACATTGTAACAATTCTTGCTGCCTTTGGACTTTTTCGATTGGTGACTGCGAAATACATAATAGCATGTAAGTTTTTCGTTTATGAATGAAAGAAAGTATTACCAAGCTTTTTTAAAAATCGACTAACTCGAGCAGGATATAATGCATCATTAATAATTTGCGCTGGTGTGACAAGTGTCTGGTGCCAGAACGACCAAATACTTCGATATCTCTCACGATTTGGATAAACCGTCTCAGTAAAAATGAAAAATCTCTGACGGAGAAATAAAGGCATTATTTTCTCCACATCGAGCGCTAAATCCACCTAAAAGAGCAGCAAAATCAGGTTAATGTAAGTAAGCATGTGCAAACTGTACAAACCAAGCTTTTTTTCATACCAACATATGCGAATACAAAAGAGAACAAATTAAAACATCAAACTTACTTGCATTGCCAACCGTTTAAGGACAGCTTTGTCCTGCACACCTTTGATATCATCCACAGCCAATCCAATCTTAATTACAATAACAACAGTTCATGGAAAAGGTTTTGACGAGTTTAGAAAATGAAATAAACAAACAAAAAAAACACAAACCAATAAGTTAACAATAATGACGCAATTAATAATGAGAAATGCAACATATAAAACCCAGGTGATTGGAGGAACTTCCTTTTCGTTGTATACTGTATCATATTCATACTCTCCTAACATGCCCATTGTTGTCTTCAAAAATGACCGTCCTAATGTTGAGAAAGGAACCTAAACATACATTGTAATGAAAGACTGTTAAAAATTACGGAAAATCCAATTATTTTACAGAAAACCTGCCTGATCATAGAGAAGAACGTGAAATCCAAGTCCAAAAGCGACGATGAAGAGCAATAAAACGACAAAAAACTGTGCAAAAGTTCGAAACATTTCTGTGAACATGACAACGTAAATTCCAAGTTTTGGAAATTTTCTCATCGTCAAAACTAAAGTAAACCAAGCTAAACAGACAGATGCAGCACCATAACTGTTGTGCAAGCTGAAGCAACTAAGGAAAGATGAAAAACAGCTATAAATAATAACCAACCACATTCGCATCTAAAGCTCCACATGCGATAGCAATGCTTCATTTTCAAACACTTGTGAACTCACCTATTAGAAAGATGATTGTTACTTTCATTGTTCGTAACAAAAATTATTGCAGATGTGTAAGTTCCCAGTTCTACAAATTCCTGCCAACTTAAAAAGAGTCTCCACAGATACATTGCTTTGATTAACTAAAGCATACATATTCAATTACCTCATTGTGTTACAATCAATAATCAATCGATATTTGTGAAAAGACTTTACCTTAATGATAAGTACGAAACTAGCCAGGATAAGAATCATTAAGCGACCAACATTGATCCAAAAAACTTCATGGGTGTTTTTCAGTTGAATTCTATCAAGGACGCTACAATTACACTTAGGGTGACGCAGTGTCCTGGTGGATATTTTTCTCGACTGACCAGAGCATATCCAGTGAGAAAAAATAAAAATATCATATAGAAAATAAAACTTGTATAGTATACATAACGACCATAACGACGCCACTTATGCCTTAATAAAAATGTAACCAAAGGATGTTTGAGCAGCTTCTCTCGTTCATAAGAAACCTATATAAAAGGAAACGTTATAATATAACATTGCTGAAATTGTTAATACATCAGGCATAGTTAAATGGTTTGTTTTACTGCATTTTTCTAACCAACTTCCAACTGAGAAGATTCCATTACACAGGTAATTCAAAAAAGTGTAAATATCAACAAATAAACGTGAAATTAAATAATGAAAAACGAGTATAAGCCATCAGGCTGCACACAGCAATCATTTTTCAAGGATAAGATTTCATGATGAAAAACCACAAAAAAATTACGTGTTGAAAATTATCTATAATAAATAAGTATTTCTAATATTATCACGAAAGTAAGCATTAATTTTGGTTTGGTACAGATCTTAGTCTTTCGTTAAATATCAAACATATGAACAAATTTGACGGTAAGTTTAAACACTCGAATTTTGAATGCTAACATTTAACAGTATAATGACATCACATCAAGACAACGTTTCAAACAACTACTTCTTTGTTGCTAAGTTAACAATATGCATTGTTGCATTTGACAAATTACTTCTTGTCTACTTCAGTTGAAAATCATCATGTATTACCTGAAAAATTGAGAGCATTGCATGGAAAAAGAGAATTACGCCACAAACTTGTTATTGATGCGACAAAACGTTACTAATTCGAGACATCGCGGGAAATTTTAATGCATGCATGAATCATCCATGCAAAGGAAAACACAGAAAAATGTCCTAACCATGAGTATCAGTGGATGATTTTGCTTCATTTGCAGTTGTATTGTTGAGTTTTCAGGAAGAGCTTTCTTGATGCTATATACAAAATCCTCGTGTATTTCTTCTTCTTCACTATCACACTCATTCTCAAACCATTTGGTGTTAACATCGTCCAGAAATTCATAATCCAATGTAATATTGTAATCTAAATGATTCACGGGTTCCTCGACATGAAAGCAGCGATCACAGACTTTTAGAGCTAAATCAGGAAGTTTCTTGATCAACTTTCGCATTGGCGTTGTTACACTTGCACCATCAGTTGTTCGATTTCGCATAACGCGTTTCCATTGACTATGGTTGAGAATTTCCAAAACAACATCTCTAAATACGAGGGCAAATATAAAAGTAAACCGAGAACAAATGATTTTTTTTGTTTCTTGAGAATATTTACTAAAACCATTTGAAAACCCTCCAAATCAAGCCCAACCCCGGAAGTGAGGAACTGGACAATTAAAACTTCAACTGCTACGCCATTTTATATGATATGATTCTGAACACCATGCAGTAAGCACAATTACTGTTGTATATTGAGTTATATTTATTGGGAGTAAACATTACTTTCTTCCATGATCAATAGCAACATCAAGACAATTCTTTCCCTCGTGGTCGGTAAGACTAATATCTGCTTTTCTTGACAGAAGTAATTTAACCATATCAGGATGCCCTTCCTGGCATGCAAGATGTAATGGAGTTGTCTGTAATAAACCTCACAAAAATTTAATACACAATACATTTAAGTTGTAGATAAAAGCGATGTTTGAAGTTACAAGTTTGTCCTCTACCTTAGTTTTATCTAAGGGATCAACGGGTGATCCTTTGTTCAAAAGAACTGTCGCAGTTTTTGTCCATCCCTGAACAGAAGCGCAGTCCAATGGTGTCCATAAAGTGTTGTTTCTTTGTAAAAGAAAAAGCATACAACGAAATTTAATACGACTGGAAATGACAGAACTCAGTTTTAGTAAATATTATATCATTTGATGAAAAGACATTTAGTGCCATAAATGTAAGAAAAGAGGAAAAATACACAGTATCGTACATGTTTTCTTTAGAGTCTTTAAAAGTGTTAATAACTCTGATATAGTTTGTACAACAGTTTGAAAAATACAGTTTATTTATTTAGAGTTTATTACAGGTATATTTAATTATTAAATTTCGCACTAAGAACATGCGTGGCTATAATACCTGGCGTCAATCGATGCTCCTTGATTCAACAATATTTCAACAACTTTAACATGGCCATGTAAGGCAGCAAGGTGAAGAGGAGTATTTGAACAGTCATCTTCGTCGTTAATAATCGACGGATCTTGTTTGATTAATATCATCGTTACTCTATATAAAAAGTTGGATAGCATTGTCTTACGATTAAAAAATTAGCGTATTGCCACTCCAGGGGGAGCAACCCTCATTATACATTGTTATGCGTATATCATGGTTTATTACTAAATTCATCTTTATACTATAATTAGCAGTTGGTAGCAGCCTTTTTGAAAACGTTCACACTACTTCGGATCGGTCTGAAAATGGCACAAAAAAAGTATTACAGCCGGGTTGAGTTTATATTGCACCGGAGCGGAATTGTTTGAAAACGTCACTTTCCGGAGCGATACGACCACACTTTCTAAACGTGCTCAAACGAAAACGGAGCGCTACGCAACTTTGTTCAAACTGCTAACCGTTAATGTTTCGCTACACTTTAGATACCAGTTTTCTTCATTTTATCACGCGTTGTGGCGCATAATTGAAAATAGTGAGCATTTTATGTTTTGGAAAGCTTTTGATGAGCAATTCCGTTGTAATTTCTACGAATAAATGTTTTCTATGACCGATCGCTAGAGACATAAATATCAAGCAATGTGTAACGACAAATGGCGTCATTCTTTAAAATACAACTAACGAAATTTGACAGCAAGACACATTTTGCGTAAACACCCGCAAAACTGTAAAGGAATTCAAACGGCTCAGCGTACACACAGTCAAATTCTCCTCTCACTTTTTCGCTCCGAAGTAGTGTAAACGTATAGTTTTAAATGATGTTTATTCATAGCGAACAGTACACTGAAATCATTGCACTTACGTATCTTGATTTACGCCCATAAAAATCCCGTATCAGAGTCAGTGTCACTCTTCACATCGATAATTGATACAATTTACTCATTGACAACAAAGTCATTAAAGGTGGAATAAAATTCTTTAGGTTGCTATTAAGTTTATCAACTTTACTGGTCCATTTATCAACGAGACGGAACTCGTGTGACGCATACAATAAGTTTTTCCCAAATTTCTTGTTGTTATAACTAGTACTGTGGAAATTGAACTAAATATCGTTGATTAACGATGCCTATAATTTAGGTTGTTCAAAAATTCTTCAAATCAACAAGATTATATAAGGCAATGTAAGAAAATGAAGAGCATTTGTCAAACACATAAAGCTAACCTGGTTCTTCCATGTTTTGCAGCAAGGTGTAAAGGAGTGAGATCTTGATCATTTTTCGCATCAATGATAGCTCCGTTCTCCAACAACATCTTAAAACACATAAAAATCAATATTCTGGTAAGAAAGACAATTTTCAGTCTAAAGGTAAATGTATTCGTCAACACACTCTTCCTTCATGTGAACAAGAAAAATCGATCACGTGAAACGTAAAACATACCCTGACAATTTCATCGTGACCTTTCCTCGATGCCAAATGCAAAGGAGTTTCTTCAAATTTATCTGCCTCATTAAGTAACGATTTTGCACGTTTGTCTTTAAGTAATATCTGATAAGGAAAACAGGGAAAACAAGTTTCAGCATGTAATGTTCAACACTCAAAAAAATAAATAAACTTTAGTGAATCCAATTGTACATTGACAAACGAGATAAAAGGAATTATGAGGTATAAAAAGAGGGTAACGTCGCGTCCTTACTATCTTTACCCTTGACCATGCCTGAATACAGTGCTTGAATTTACAGTGCAAAGACATGCAAAGAAATACAGTGCAAAGACATGCAACAGAAAGAAAGTAATCAAAACCATAACTTGAAGTTCAATAGAGTTCAAATATGAAAGATATGAAATACATATATACCTTCAGGCTTTCTAAACAACCATCAACAGCCGTATGATGATAAACATTTCTATCATTCTTATCCTTTGCACAAGGATCTGCATTATTTTCCAGTAAGAAACGTAACGAGTCAACATGATTCTTTTTACCAGCTATCAATAACGGCGTATTCTTGTCCCGATCACGACACTCCAATTTCGCTCCTCTACATAAAGAAACGTCTTTTGCATCATTTTGAAAAGCTGATCAAGAAAATTTACACGCTAATGTGAACACGAAATCATAATATCATACTTTTTCCACAGGTACTTCATGATTTCCAGTCGATTGAAAGTGGCAGCTCTCATCATCGGAGTTCTTTGCATGGTGGTTTTGGCTTCAATATTTGCGTTGCAATTTAAAAGAAGTTTAACAATTTCAATATGACCATTTCTCGTCGCAAGATGTAGAGGAGTGATTAAATTTGATTTCACACAATTTACGTTTGTTCCTTTGTCAATAAGAAGACGAGTGACGTCATAATGTCCATTTTCAACAGCAAGATGCAAGGCTGTTTGATCTTCTCTGTCTTGATCTAACACCATTTTCGATAGTGTTTCCCAGCCTCCTTTTTCTTCAGCTTATGTGGAAAAAAACAGTTTGAAGTAAAATTTGAAGCTATATAGGAAAGCACTCTTAGAGAATAAATTTAAAAAAGCAATAACGTTTATTATGCTCTGCCTTTCTTGTAAATGGAACCTACAGGAAGCTATCTAAACTGGGAAACAAAAAAATTATAAATTACCAGCATCAAAGAGATACTGAGCGACGTCAAAACTTCCTTCCATAGCAGCGAAATGTAAGGGCGTCATTCCTTCTTCATCAAAACATCGAAGATATGCTCCAGCTGTAACTAATATTTTCGCTATTTTTAATGAACCTTCCAACGCTGCACAATGCAATGCTGTCATTTCAGTTTTGTCCTTTGCCTAAAAAGGCGTAAATGATTGAACTGTAAATAACTTCCTTTGACAGTAGCTACTTTTCACGCAAACTAGTTTAATCTTGCACAGAGTTGAGTGTACCTGAATAAAATTTTTCTAAAAGTGAAACTATAATACGTTACTTCAGTATTAATCACCCGCGCTACTTTCACTCAACTTTTTAGAGCGTATTATTCGGAAAGCGGACTAGCGTCCACAGTGATAAGTGGTCTAGTTTATTAAATTAAAAAAGAGGCATTAATGGCAAGTGTTGCATATTCCATTGTGTGGGGTTTATTTTAATGCCATATTGATGTTCAATAGTGAAACTTAGAAACGATTATTGGCAACAAGTTACAATTTTTGACAGTAACGTGTTGCAATTACAATTTTGAGCATGAAATTAAAAATGGAACAATTTAAAAAAACACTTTTACTGCTCTAAGGTAAGCGTGCGATGAATTAAAAATGTCGTTGTTTCATTCACCTCAAGATTAATATTCTTATCCATTAAAAGTTCTCTGACGCCAATATCATTACATTTTGATACTGCATAATGAAGAGGCGTGCAACCAAACTTATCCGACTATTTACGTTGGCCTTGCGAGACAATAAATAGGAAATGATTGATTCTTCATTGGATGATGAAGTATCGTCTGAACTCTTGCAAATTTTGCGTTCATTAACTGAAAATACATAATTAGAGTAAAATATCGACGAAAAAAACGAATACACAGTCAGATCGTCAATTGCATCGCATATCACTAGCATCAAAGGAACTACACTCTCAATCATAAAGACACTTAGAAACTGCCAAATTAATATTTACTATCTTTCATAACAATACCCATGTCCCTCTTTTTTGCACCAACATTTGAAGCTTTAAGATAAGTCTTCTGAGGCACATAAGCACTTAAATGCTTTTCTGAAATACTTCCTTCAAACTGTTTTTTAGAAAGTTTTGGAGTTTCTTCAGGTATAATTTCATCACATTTATCCAAGTGAAACCTAGCAGCAAAATGAAGTGGACTTGCTCCATTTTCACCCTAACTCCAACACCTCAATAAGCAAATAATATAAAACAAGAATCACGATTTAACATCAGGAAACAAACTGTTACAGACTTTGTTTAACTTATCAGTACTTTTTTCTTGCATTAGTAATCCAGTTTCCTTGTCGCAGCGGAAGCTCTGGGTTAGGTCAAAATAAATTACAGAAGCTCGTTTTAAATTCAGAAAACTTTTTTAGCAATGCTGTTGGTTAAAAAATTCTAAAGAACATTTAACATTAAAATACTCAAAAAAGGATTTGTTCCAAAGTATTTTAAATTGGAAATATATTTCAGTAATATATTCTGACCAGCCCTGGTCCGCTACTACCTTGTCGCAAGGAATCACATAAAGGCATTAGACAACCAATATTACAAATAAATAAAGTCACACAGGATGGAACTGCTGAATATTTTTATTTTTAGATAAGAGGTGAAAAATCTTTGAAAACATTAATGAATTTCAAAAGGTCACATGGTTTTTAGAACAATTTACAAGTTAAAATCAAATGCTTACTTGCTCCACAATCCACTAACTTTTTCACAATATGAAGATGATTATATCTGACAGCATAATGTAAAGCTGTTGATCCATCTTTGTCAGGTGCATTGATTTTGCTTGAATTTTTACCAAGTAACTGAAGTTTCTTCTGAACAACATCTAGCCGACCATCTCGTGCTGCCTAATAAAAAATCTCAGCATTAGGATTTAATAGTATATCAAGCAGAAATATACAGATATTTTACAAAGTAATTAAAATTCTTATAATATTGTTACTCAGAGTCTGGGTTTAAATATGTTATTTTACAACTCATTCTTTTCAAAATGAATGAGACTTCAATATATAAAACAAACACGTCAATTATTCAGCAGTTTGTAAAAAAAGTTGTTCCAACAATTGTTCTAATTCATTTACTTTGAGGGTAGTGGACTATAAATAAACAGACATAAAATGGAAGAATTTTGGATCACTAATTTACTGTAAACCAATATCTTAATTCAAACTTCATTTGAAGATTAAAGGCTCCTTTGATAATATAAATGATATCTAGTCCAACAAACCCGGGATAACATCCTCCATTTGTTAATTGAATTTGAATGAGATGCAGTTACATGTCATAAATGAGAATTATGTTTGCTAATATGAATTTTATGATTCTGTTTTTTAAACGCCATTAAGACGCAAAAAGGAAGGATACTTTACCTGGTGCAGCGATATATTGGGATAATCCGAGTGTAGTTCTCGAGATGACTTTCCAAACAATCCAGCAAATTTCCTTGAAGACTTAGGTGTTTTATCAATGCCATCATCAAAATAATGAGATGAAATTTGTTCTCTTTCCACATTATTTGAGAAAGATTTTAATTCCAGGGATCCATTATTTAACAAGGGAACCGACGCACTGTGGTGCAGACTAGGTATTTTATACTCTTCACTCATAACGTCCTTTTAGTATCCGTTTGTTGTCCAAAGTTTCGAAATAAAACTCCATATTTATTTCGACATATCACGACAGTTACTTTCATATTTCACGTGCAACATGCAATACAAACCCATCACGCACGTGCGCAGACATAGATAAAGTATTGGTTGATGTTTTTTCATTCAATTATATAAATAGATAGATATACAATATACATAAGTAACATAACAAAATAATAATATAGAATTAATCATTGATATTAATCAACATGTATAAAATGTTATAATATGAAATGCATCTGAAGCTCTATCAACAAATCTCTTACAACTGATACAATTTTCATTTCTAAATCCTAATTGAAGTTTAAATGAGAAAATTTGTCTTTATATTTAACAGCTATTAGAGAATACCTTTCTATTTATTTCAAGTCAAACAATTTCTTCGGTATTTCATTTTCGAACTCAATAGCAAATTCGTCATCAAGAAACTTACATTCACTAATTCACAAAATGCAAAGCTTAGAAAAATTATTTAAAAACCCTTTTTTGGGACGTTTATAACAAACATGACGCATCTGGAAAAAGATAAGTTTTCTTGTGCATCAAAATAAGCAAAGCAGTTTGAAACATCAACTTTTTCCAGTTACGTGTTTCTGACTCGTAAACCAATAGAGCCAGTGACGAAGCCAACCTGCAAACTTGGTTCAGTTTTATAAATTTTTCTGGGTTCACCCACTTCGAAAACAATGGATCTCTATAGAAATGAATGATGATAATACTCTGGAATTTACATAGGACCAAAACTTGCTGGATTACTACGACCTGAATACTGAATAGTGCACTGTCAACTGAACACATTTTTCTTCCATTGTGAAAAGTCTTAGCTACGTTGCCATTTTCATCAAACTTCAAATGCTCGATTGGCAAATATCAACAAAACATCGCAAATATTACAATTTTTCATCTACAAATTAAACAAAAGTTGTTGCTGCTACTTTATCACAGCAATTGACTTATAAATCTATCTTTTTTGATGAAGAATTAAAGTGTGCGTCATTTACTCAATACATTTACGTGTATATTATAACTAAAAGTGAAATTTTTCTTTGTGACACTCATTGCATATCACAAAGTCCTAAATTGCTATAAAACCATGATTGAAACAAGGTAGAAAATTTAATATTTAATAATCAACATTGTAAATTGAATTCACCAGGTGAATATTTCGTAATACGAGGCTTTATTCAACGTTTACAAAACGCAAAACAAAACGTTCAACGATGTTGAACTTATAATGTTGGGATTGTTTAAAAAACATAACTATCTGTCCCCGATATCCTACGAGCATCCTTCATTATACATTTGTGAAGATGACTGAGTCAAAAATGAAATAATAAATTCTCCTCATATAAAATTATTTATATGCCATAATCACATCTTTCATTCTTTTCAATAAGTTTAATTTTTAAGATTTCATACATCACACAAGTTTTATTGATTTTTTAACACGTCGCCTGCCTTATGATGATTATAAACAAGAGGTGAACAACTTTAATGACAGAAAAATCTCTAAGCGGAGGTGAGCTAAGAAAAACATGTTAAACGTTATCATTTTTATGCAGTTGATTGCATATCATTAAGTGACGAATGATGGAAAGGAGATGTATCAGTTTTAAGTATTTCTCTCACTAACATTGTAGCGTATGAAGATGTTGGTAAATCAAACTCCAACTTTAATGCTCGGTACTTTCCATCATTAAGTGTTTCCTGCTCCGATACCCGGGCCATACGATCAAGATCAGTCTGGACCAATGATATGTTAGGATCATCGTATGGAATTACTTTCCAATTCAAATTCTTTGGTTTGACAACCACGTGTCTAAAAAATATCCAAACAGACGAGTTTGTTAGCTAATCTAGTGCCGTACACAGCTATATAATTGACGGTGGGAGAGGTATAAGGTTTTAAAATTAATTGCTTTCTTTAACGATTATGACATACATACATATATATATCACATTGTTATACACTTTGTATATATATATATATATATATGAATATTTGCCACCCCAATTATGGAGCTGCATACTTCAATTTAGATACTAACACACACAGTTTCTATCTTTTTTGTGTGTGGGGGGAAGGGGGGGGGGTAGATACAACAATAAAACACAAACAATTAACGATTTATCGTCAACATATATAACAATGTAATATATATTTACAGTCAAAAATTCAAAAGACAAATTTCTTCATCATACAACTTGTTTATTTGTGAAGTTGCTATTTTTGCACTTTTTCGCCAAAATTTTCCACAATCGGTACATTCATGAAACATACCTATAAGCTCCAGACACTGAATAATCTTTTACTTTATGTCTCATGTTGTTAATATCCAATCCATCAGTTAATAAGGCTTCCTCGTACCAAACTTTCGCCACGTGTTGAGGATATTTGATGTCATAGCCTGGCAATGGCATAACGATATCTTCAATACTGTAAGAACTTATGTCTTCTTCTGTAGCTACTTTAACATTTGAAGGCCCATTATTAGCTATAAAATACAGTGAAGTCAAATCATGTAATTGTATAAGTTGATTTAGTTTGCCTACATGCAAAAGATAAATATAGAAATCAAATATCTTCGAAATTACTTGTTTGGCTGAATCTTAGCAATATAATACACATTATATGCATTGTAAACACCAAAGTTACTATATATCAAATAAAATAACCCTTACCACCTTCAACTGTCAACTTTGTTTTTTCATAAACCAAATCACCAACCACAGGTTTGAAACCTAACTCCTATAATCTCGATGATTCACAAATTTAAATCAGCCAAACAGTCACTTAATTACTATCATTGAACATCATTTGTAAAAACACTGTCACATAAATAAATATAAAATCTATTTGCAGCCATTTTTTACTGGACAATAAACGCCTTTAGGAAGTACAACAATATTATATATTTACTTGTGATTATGGACACACAAACATTGTCTACTTGGGAAACAAACCTTTAATCGTTTAGAAACCATTATATTCCAAACATAACTTTGATAAGCATGAACATACATCAGTCGCTGGTTTCGTGGTAAAACTTTTAAAGCCCCAACAAGATCTTTGTTATACTTTGATAATCCTTCAAGAAGAAACATCTCCAAACACTTATTTCCTTCTAAGGCTTTGAGAGCTTCTTTAGCATCATTTTTGTTTTGCCAAACCTCGTAGGCTTTCTTTGTATATTCATTGTAATTACAACGTGATCCAAGAATTAGGTCAATGGCCATATTCCACTCACTTTTGAGAAGACACAAGCCTATTTCAAATATTTATAATGATTTCAGTAAAAGATGTGGAAGTGAAGTACAATAAATGACCTTGAAGAAAAATGTGCTCTTGTTATTTAGACTGTATTACAGATATTAACAGTAAACAGTAGTCAAGTGACTGGTTTGAACCTGGGAGAACCATTACATGTTTGTAGAGATGACTTGGAAGATGACTATAGCTAATGTTGTTGAAGCATCAGTCAACATCAACACCAACAGTCCTTCTCAAGACTCTACTAGCTTGGACAATCTATATCTACAAACATGTTGCAAACAGTAGTCAGCATACCTATAGAATGTGTTGAATTCTTGCTTGATCCAAATCTTTGCAAGCCAAAATAATTAATAAATCCATTGTCTTTTAAAGATGTCATTGCATTCCTAATGATATCATCTGTACCATCAACATTTCTTAGTACAATAACAAAAGAATTTCCTTTCAGATCGCCTAATTTTAATGGTGCCTTTTTGAACTCAAAGTTTCCAACACGAATGTTATGAAGTACTTTGTTGAGCCCTAGAAGATTTCTGGCATCAATTCGAAACACAGAAACATTTTGTACAGTGATTGCTCGAGCATCTTTAGTACCAGCGTAAGAAAAGCGGTCAGGTTTAATTTTCAAATACTTTGCAAGTAAATTGATGGCTTGCATTGTATCTTTGTTTTCTTTGTACAAGCAAAAATGACAATATTCTCCACGATCTTTAGGCCAGTCATTTTTTCGTCTTCTCTTGTTGTCAGATGGAAGTGAATAGAACACACGTACAACTTTATTTCCATCAACATCAACTGTGTCGCTATCTACAATTGAAAATGAGATTGTCTATGTGAATTACTTATGGTCACAACTCTTCCTTTCAATGTTATATTAATAAGAGATTAAAAACTATTGAAAAACTTCAATGTCGAAGCTACTAAGTCAGACTGTTTTGGAAATATGCAAACATTGTTGAAATCATTCAGATTTTCTGAAGAAATTAATGGTGTTTTTTTATCAATTTAAGTAATAGATAATTCAAACTCAAATAAAGGTCATCAATGGTTGAGTTGTAAAGTTGTCACAATTTTACACATACCCAAAACTGAAAACTGTTGCCTTATCTGGCGATGTATGATAGTCCTATGTTCTTTATTATTTTCTGTTGCAACGATTAACTTGGATGTTTTATCACCAGCATTTACGAAATCTTTCAACTTCTCAAGCACCGTATCTGGTAGCACTGAATTTTCAACTTCTTCCTGTATCACAATCTTGGGTAGTTCTGTGTTCGTCAAATGAGCAATCATTCCATTAAGATCTATTTCATTAACAAGAAAATCTGAATATCTTTGCTTCAGAACACCAGAAAAACCCTTATTCTCACAACAATACTCTGTCACTCCAACAGTTGACTCAGAACGTTTATTACTCTGGTCGTTCACAAAACAGTTTATAGAACTTTTCAGTTCAATTTCAGTCGAAATGGGTTTTTCACTTGTTTTATCCACCTCAAAAGTTTCTTTCAATGAATTAGAGATGTTTTCCTCGAGTTTTAGTCGTTTTTCTTGCGGTTCGACAATAGCTTCTTTGAGCAAATTCACCGCCATCGCAAATTATAAGCTGTTTGTGCACGAGTACAACTGGATTAGGATTAGACCCAGTGATTAGACCACACGACACGACTGGTTTAGACCATCCCAGTAGATTAGACCACACTACTGTATTAAAGACCGGATTTGAAACTATATACTGATATACCATTGCATTTAAAAGTGAAAAGCAAATAGGCAGAAGAGTCTCCAAAGTCTGTCACTACTTTACTCTTAGCAAAGTTAGACCAGACCCTAGAACACATCACAATACAAGGATGACGAACAAAATTATAAGTTTTTCTGGATTAATTTAAATAGTGTTTACAAGACGCGCGGGAAAATAGTCTCGATAGTTATTCCAACTGAGAAGGTCTCCCATCTTCTGCCACCCTTGGATCAGTTGGATGACCTTTTAAAATCATTTAAGAGAAACCAAAACAGGTAGAAGAGAAGAGACGCAACTAGAACTTTATTACTTAGGGGTGTGCTTATTCAAATATTCAGTTGAGCCCTACTGATCTCATATGAAAGTGAATTTCTTTTGTAAAAAAAGAGAACAGATAGAAGAGATTCGTTGTAACAATAGCAAATTCATATAATTACTACTTTATCATGTCAACTCTTAGAAATAAAAGGGCAGTCTGCCTGTATATTTCTAAGATATTTGAAGAAGTTGGATAAACATACAAACTATGTTTGCCTTGTGGTTAACTAAAGTAATGAAATCTGTTGTTTTTTTATCTTAGTTCATATATCATAGTTTTTACTTACACACCATTACTATAAACAATAAAACGACTATGAACATAAATTTGTCCCCCATTTAATTACCAGTATTTCCTCGTTGAAGTTATTTTTACTTAACGGGCTCAGCTACATGTGTTTATTTTGTGAAAATTTACAGATAAAATTTACGAAAATTAAACGTCTAAAGTGGAAAACAATCATCTGTAAACCGTCGGTAAATTTTACCGTCTATTTCACACGGGTAAGTATTGTTTAATCAATAATTAATGGCGTTGACTCATTTTCACCGTATTTTGTTTTATGGTGATTAAAAATATTCTTCAGACTGCTAATGTACTTCTTATGAATTCTATTCACTTGATGTAAAGATGGATTCTTTTTCTTTTTGACATGAATCGGAGCGCCCACTAAAATAATGTTTAAATGATTTTTTAAAATCAGTGTTATAAAAGCATAACCAACTAAATACTGTAAAAACAAATGACTCATTGTTAGGCAGTCGTAAATGATCGTAACCAAATGACATTGCATACAAATGATCCATATTAGGTTCATCTTACAATATAGCAATCCTATATCCAGAAAAGTTAAGCACAGTGAATTAGAAGTTAAACAAAAATATTCAATTTTTCAATAACAGACAGTTTTTCGGATTTTAAGCTGTATATGACTATATGTACTGGGCATCGGAGATAATTGGGTGGATAATTTGTAAAATTGTTGATGGCTTTTCTGCAATTCCTAAGAAATACTTTTCTAGCCTATGAAAACCTTTAAATGTGACATACCTATTGTGTTGATTGGTTTTTGATGAGGCAAGACAAACAAACGGCCAAAAAACATGACTGGTGCAAATGAAATTATCTTTTGAATAGAATTTTGCCATTGACGAAGTCGCGATCCTGGTGGATTTTTTGGTTGATTGAACAGATCATTTTCGCCAAAGGACATAACGGGAACAAGAGATGCTCTATTAAAGTAATAATTTCACGTATGAAAAAAATCAGCTTTCCCTCACAATTTTTTTAGGTAAAATATTTGGTTAAAATCAAATTAAAAATAAAAAATAGCTGCCTGTGCTTTTTTGTTTGTAAATTTGAGCCCTATATCATTTTTTCTAACTTACCCAGTTCTGATTGCCATTTTTACGAAACCCTTTCGATTTTTCAGTGTAAGACGATACAGTCCCGGATGAGCGTCCAGTGATTCTGCAGCTCCCCCCACCACGATAATCGCAACATTCCCACCCCCCGATTTGCTTAAGATGTGTACAATACTTTCTTTGGAGACATCACATATTCCAAACGCTGATAGCAGATCACGGTAAAATGGGAACCAATGTAATACTGAGAAAAATATTTATAATTAGTAAATTTGACTGAGTAAAGTAATGATGAAGGTCAAGGTTATTTTCTGAGCTAAACAACGGTGTGTTGTACTGAGCTATTTATTGGCAAAGTGAATAATCTTTTTTTTTTTTTGTTTTACTTGTAGCAGTAACTTTGAAAGATTTTCCCTGAAAAATTCATTTTGAATTATTTTGTTTCTGATTTAATTTCAAAAAACACTGAATAAATATTTATCATGTGCAAGACGAGCGTCTTGATTGATGATGCCAAAAATGATATTTGTTTAGTTGTCTCCCACTGTGAGTTGCTTAGCTTACATTTCAAGGTCAACAAATGCGGAGTAAGTCCAGGAAATAGTTTTCCAAAGCCTGTCGCTTCTGTAGCAAAGTTACACCAGGCCCCAGAACACATAACTCCATGAGGATGATAACCAAAAATATAGTTTTTTTCAGGACTAAGTTGAGTTGTTTTTACAAGACGCACAGGAAAATAGTCTCGATAGTAATTCCAACTAGAAAGTTTTCGCAAGGTCTCCCATCTTCTGCCGCCCTTGGATGATCTCTTAAAATCATATACGAGAAACCAAAACAGGTAGACGAGAATAAATGGCAAAATAATAATGTTTGTCATGTTACAAATCATCACAATTAAAGAGATAACATGTCCAAACGTGAAGGTTCCACAAACTGCGGTCACCACAATAACTTGGAAAACTTTAACTATCACAGAGCTCTTGCCGGTCGTCTTCAAAGAAATCCCAATCTTCGACATCATTAATTTTCATTTGAGATTTTCCTGTTACGAAGATGACGCATTTAACAATATCGATCCCAGTCGAAAGAAATTGGAATCCACAAAGGAAAGATTTGTTGCTGTTGTTCTATTTCCTACATAACCATTCGTCATGCCAAGTAAACACCTTTTGTTATAATACCACATCAACGCTATTTCACCTTTTGAAGTAAATTGATCTCATCATATTTATCGATCTGCCCTTCAATGACCATCCATATGGTGTTTGTGACGTTATAATAATTAGCTGATTCCGATTGAAGGATCTTTTGCTTCAACAACAGCATTACTTTATGTCGTTCTATCTATTTTCTTGCATTTTTAGAACTTTACAGCTCTTTTTATAAGAAAGATTTCACACTTAAATAAAAATCATCAAAAGCAACAAATTCTCTAACAGTAGAGTTCTAGCTATTTTTGCCTTTGGACGTTAGGCTAGTTGGTTAGTCGTTAGTTTGCCATTATTCTTGTCTTTATTTCTGTATGACGACATAAGCACTTGTAGAGGAGAGTGGAGGACAATTTTCGGTGATCACAATTGTGCAAAGTGCCGTTTATGCCTTGAGCAGTGTCCACCAAAATTGTTTCGTTTCGTTGTTAAAACATTTTAAAACATTTTGAGTAGTGATACTTACATGAAGTTTCTCTGATGAGAAGGTTATGAAATGTAAAAATTTCAATTAAAAATTTCCTCCATAAATCCATACTATTTTAGATCAAGAGAAAGTGTACGTAATTTTATATGTCTAAATGAGTTTTTTGCCTGGAACAGCGAGTTTAATCAAGGAAATTAACAGTAAGTTTAAATCTTGATATTTCTATTTGAAAATAAATTTTTCTCAGAGATGACACTTGAAAATGAAATGTGAAACGGCGGAGGGCCGTTTGATTTAGTTGATTAAAAGTTCGTATAAAAGTAAGATTTTAAATGTCAGTGATAAAATCTCGATTGGAAGGGTTTGATCAGAAAGTCCATGTCTGATGATTTTTCACATAACTTAGGTTACAGTTATTTACTTATAAAATTTATATAGGTTAATTGGTTTTATGAACATGAATTCACATTGTACTATGTTTTCTTCAACAGAAGAACTGCTTGTCGTGTTGCGAGATGGAAGAACACTGATTGGATGTTTGAAAAGCATTGATCAGTATGGTAATTAAGATAACTTTAACTATTTTATGTTTACATTTACAAAGAGCTGACCAACTGATGCCATATGAATTCTTGAATATAATCTACTTTATCTTTACAGCAAATCTTCTTCTGCAAGATACAATTGAAAGGATACAAGTTGGAAAGAAATATGGAGACATATATCGTGGCATTTTTTTGATTCGTGGTGAAAATGTGGTCCTTGTTGGAGAATTTGTGAGTTCCCTACTTCATTACCTCATTCATGTGCACTTTTTATGTTGACTCAATTGAATACTGTTTCTCATATTGAATTTGACAGGATGGTAGTGCTGATGAAAAAACCCAAATGATAAAAGTTGATGTTGAAGAAATTCTTGAGGCTCAAAGGTCTGATCAAATTGCAAAAGATGAACATGAGAGGGCATTAGTAAAAGCTCGACTACAACTGGGTATGCATGTCAATCTGCCTGACTCTTACATTGTATCTAAAGATGACTTTGGCACATAAACTGCACTTATTTAGAACTCTAGTTGATGTTGTGTGTCTCAAAGATTATTTATATTCATTTGAATTCTTTATAAATTCACATATCATTTTATGTTGTATGTAATGAAAAAAATTTGTTGTAAATATAGTGTTTAATTTAAAACAAATATTAGCCTTTGTTGAAGAGTTGTGTGCCTTGTATAAATAAATGTATTTTTGTACACAAATAAAATTGGTTAAAAACTAATTTTTCACTTAAAAAAATTCTACCAATATACAGTTTTCAAATGATGAGGTTTGTAAAATAGATAAATGAACTTAATATCCTGTACTTTTTACACACCCATTGTGTTTATGGCATCTTAGTCATTGTTTTTGTAATTGTCCACAAACTATAATACTAATTGTAATAGCCTGAATGATGATTTACAATCGACTACAAAAATATATTCATACATAGTTGAACACAACGTACTCAATGTACAAAAACATACAATTTACAAATGATGTCAACTCAGGGACGTCATTGTGTCGCACTGCTGTGTCGTCATGACTTTCATCAATCCAAGAAAATAGGTACGCCGTGCGTAAATGTTGCATGCCAAGGTTATACAACGCGTGCGCTAATCGGTCTATTCTATAGGTGAGTTTGCTTTATCCTGTGCAAACCAATCTATTGAAACCAATGTTATGAACTCAACATGAAGCAAAAGCTCGAATAATTTTCTTCCTTGCAGGATGATTAAGCTCAAAACTGAAATACATCGTAAAGCATCCTCATAATTAAAAAATTTTTCTCACTCAAAACATCGTCGATATGCCTATATTACACTACAAATCCAGTGACGCACGTCTCTTCCACTCTAAAGGTTGTAAAAAAGGTTTGAAAATTTTGCACATCTTCAAATTGCTTTTGGAGGAGGGGGGACAATAAAAGAAATCCAGAAATCTTAAAAGGTTACAAAGGGGGGAAATTCCACATGGCAAAATTGTGACCTGTTTACAGGCCAAAACTCAATGATTTTTAAAGGGACAGTGCTCAGACAGCACTCCTGGTTGTGCAACCCCAAATTATGAACAAACAAAATTAACACAAGATTAATTTATTTTTTACCATTCTTTAAGGGCGATCTTTTAACGTATATTCATATATATATCTATATCTAGAATGCTCTATTATAAACAATAAACATGCCTGGATTACAAATTTTCATACATATATATATTTATATATACGGTATTTGTATGAACAAGAATCAAAGGAACAAATACATTCAAGAATCCACAGAATTTTAAAAATTACTAGAGGCGAAAAAATAACTGAAAAAGTGTTAAATTGTAAATGCTAAGTGTTAGATTTATGAGAAGTACACTTTTACGCACGAGAAAAGCATTCTGCTGTTATGTGGCCTTACTTGACCGAAAGCGATGACGCTCTAAGTAGGTCAAAATTCCTTTGAAAGGCGAACGGCAAATATATTTAAAATTATACATATGAGAAAAGTAATTGTTAAACCCAAGAGGGTATATTGGTAGATTTTTGATTATAATCATTTTCATAATGATCGTCATTGTCATCTCGTTGATATTGCGCTGGAGGAGGAACTTGAGGCGTGTTCATATCTGGAGTGTCACGGTATACTACTCCACCTTCATTCTTGGAAAAAAATGCAAATCATTTTCAGAGGGCAATTTCGAACCGTACCGGCACAAATACAAAACATATATTACAATAATGTTTTTACCTTAACATTTGACGGGTTATTCTTTGTAGGACTTAACTTAACTCTAAAACCATAAAGTTGAACATCAATAACAATTCTTTGCAACCATGCATGCCAAAAAAAAAGAAAATATGCTTGTATTTCTTACTGGCAAAGGAAATTAAACTTTTAGAAAAGAAGTAAGGACAACAGACAACATCTCTTATGCTTTCTGTTTTGACATTTTAACACTGAAATCATTATTTCAATAACTTCGGTTCATTAAAAACGCTGAAAGTATTTAATGATAAACGTACCTGACATTGGACGAATCTGAAACGAAAAACAAAATAGTTAAAGAAAACAAAATTAAATGCAGAAACAGGAAAAAAAGATAAAAATTAAACGAAACGCGAGTGTTTCATTTAATGCTGTAGACGTTATTTAATTATTGGTGCATTATTTATTTGAGTCGTACAAACTTTTGCTGCTCCTTGCATATTTATACAAAAAAAATATTTCGTAAAATAAAAAGACCATAGCAAAAATGCTCTTGCCAGAGATACGTAAGTAAATATAGTGCTTACATGTATAGGGATACCAAACTGACAAATTTTAAAGCCTAACTTCTTCCTCAGAAACAAAAACAAATAACATACTAGATATTACTATCAATGTACCTTTTCTTTGTTGCCTTTTTTTCCAACAAATTAGCAGGATAAGAATAACTATTATAACAGCTAATGCACCAATCACGGACCCAACAATAACACCAGTATTGCTACTGTCACCTGATCGCTTTCCCGGAGTTTTTTGTCCTAACAAATGATTGATTAACAATATAAATGAAGGACATTTGTGACCAAACGCAAGATTAAATGAAAAATGATCCAAAGGTTTTGGCTTTAAATAAGAAGAAAAAGTAAAGACTGAAAGCATAGAAGAAAGATCTTAATTTAACAGTTTCTGTCATTTGTGACAAGTTCTTTTGCTAAGAAATATTCTCTAAGAAAGTCTTATAGGATTTCTCTATTTTTTAGGTATTTCCAATTGCGTATAAATACGTTAAACTGGAGTGAGAAACGAGAGATGTCCAAAATAGTTATGAAAGACAGCTAGAAAAACATGCAAGTAAAACATGTACTGGACTGTAAAAGTACGAACAGCATTCATATTCAATTAATTTTTCTAAAGTACAACATTTGTCTATGATGTCTATGTTTTGATCAAATAAAACCAAAATGGGACTTGGCAGACTCTAGCATATAGGTTTTAGTGCATTAAAAAAGACATCATCATTAGGTATACGCATAACACGTAACGATTTAAAGTAATATATCCAAACAAAATACATTCGTTTGTTGCTTTCATTTTGGGCTTCCTTCAATACAATTATGTAGTAATTCACAATCTTTCTGAAACCTACCTGTTACACTGCAGATCTTGGACTCTGTACTACCAACACAGTTTGAAGCAACAACACGAAACTCATAATCTTTGCTATTGCTCAAGGTCTCATTCGTTGACGGACTGTACATTGTATCAGAAGAGGTAAGAATATCGAACCAGATACCAGAAACCTCTTTTGCTTGCAAAGTGTATTTTACACTGGTCTTGGATATCGAAGGTAACCATGTGAGTTTATCAAACGCACATTGTGAGAAGACAGGCTCCCCAGGCTTATCTATTGAAATACAGATGGACAACAAGTTTACACAATAACAACTCATTTCTACTTGTCTTGCTAGAGAGTTGGCAAGTTATGTAGGTGTACGCAAAATCAAATACCTTCCACAGAAATATTTCGCTTATCACTTCCTAGTGTATTATTGGCCTCACAAATATACACTCCAAATCTCTGAAGAATAAATTCATTATTCAGACTTTCTTTATTAGGACCAGTGATACGTATTTTAGGCTTCGGATTTCCAGAGGCTTCACAGCCAAGTGAAATAGATGTTTTTAAACAGCCAAACTGCTCTGTCGTTACCGACTTTGCAATTTCTGGAGGATCTATAAATATAATTATCATAGTTTAAACTTTATATGCAACATAGAAATAGCAAAAACCACAAACATCTTACTTACATTTGACACTTAACTGCAAAACTTTTCGTGATACATAACCATTTGTTGTTTTAACTTCACAAATATACTCCCCACTATCCTTCTTTGTAATGTTCTTAAAATTGTAAAAGACGGTCATGCTACTTGTAGCACTTGTCATACTAGAATTCAGTACATTAGTTCCTTTCAATAATTCAATATTTGAAGATGGTTTTCCAACTGTAGCAGTACAGCTAAGCGTTACTTCCGTCCCTTGCACAACATTATTTTTCGCGACATTGATAACTCGAAAGTCGGTTACGTTCGATAGAACTAAGAAAAAAAAATGAAAACATATTTAGGCAGGATAAAGATATAGGTGAAGCCCCACAGTTCGTGGCCCATCTAAAATGTTATTGTTTGTAAACTACCGTAAACCTCCACCTGTAAGTTTAAGCACTTTAAGCATTTTTATCGGCTTATATTTAAAGAAGCTACTGTCCATTGACGAATGAAAACAAAATTATTCCAAAATATAAACTATATCTTTCCTTAACTTTTCACAAATCTTAAAATATCATCAAAAAACAAAATGTTATAAACACCAAAAGCGTAATATGCATTGATTGTGATCGAGCCAAACCTCGGAGTTTGTGAGAAGACAGGCTCCCCAGGCTTATCTATTGAAATACAGATGAACAACAATTTTACACAATAACAACTCCTTTCTACTTGTCTTGCTAGAGAAGTTGGCAAGTTATGTAGGTGTACGTAAAAATAGAAATAGCAAAAACCACAAACATCTTACTTACATTTGACACTTAACTGCAAAACTTTTCGTGATACATAACCATTTGTTGTTTTAACTTCACAAATATACTCCCCACTATCCTCCTTTGTAATGTTCTTAAAATTGTAAAAGACGGTCATGCTACTTGTAGCACTTGTCATACTAGAATTCAGTACATTAGTTCCTTTCAATAATTCAATATTTGAAGATGGTTTTCCAACTGTAGCAGTACAGCTAAGCGTTACTTCCGTCCCTTGCACAACAACATTTTGCGCGACATTGATAACTCGAAAGTCGGTTACGTTCGATAGAACTAAGAAAAAAAAATGAAAACATATTTAAGCAAGATAAAGATATAGGTGAAGCCCAACAGTTCGTGGCCCATCTAAAATGTTATTGTTTGTAAACTACCGTAAACCTCCACCTGTAAGTTTAAGCACTTTTTTATCGGCTTATATTTAAAGAAGCTAACTGTCCATTGACGAATGAAAACAAAATTATTCAAAATATAAACTATATCTTTCCTTAACTTTTCACAAATTTCAAAATATCATCAAAAAACAAAAAGTTACAAACACCAAAAGCGTAATATGCGTGGATTGTGATCGAGCCAAACCTCGGAGTTTGAATAAGAATCCATACATATTATAATCAAACAAACAACATGATTCTACAACTCTTTATCAAGTTTAAATAGAAAAACTCATGACTTGATCATGAAAATAAACAAATAAGAAGGGATAATTTGATGGTTTTGAATTTTACCTATTGCTATGATCGTAACTTTATGGGCTATTGATACAGCTCCTTGAATTGAACATTCAATATCTCCTTCATCTTGCTTAGTAAAATCTCTTATAGACAATGTTGCATCTTTACTTCCGGTTCTTATGACGTCTCCAATAAAATTGACTCTACCAGAAAACTGATTTCGTGGAATTGGAGCGTTCGAGGGTGAGCCTAGAGCATTAAGACGGTATATTACAATTTCAGGATTTGTGCCCATATATTTCCATGTTGTAATAAATGAACCGCCGACATTGTAAGTAAAAATCCATGGAATAGTGATATTAGTAAACTGCCTTCTGTAAAATTCTGCACCAGATTCGAATTGCTGACCAGAGACTAAAAACAAAAAATAAAGAGAAAAAAATTATTCCAGGAGAATCGACAAAAATTCACCTAAGTAAACGTGCTTTTTAATGTTGTATCTAATTCAAGCAAGTTTTCCCCACAAGGAATGTATCGTAAGCCCCAGGAAAGGTGTGTTGTGACGTTTGCAAGATGCAACCACCACTGGGCAGCCACTTGAAGAAAGCACCATATTTTGCATGAGACAGAACCTTTTCGTTTGAGTTTTTGACTTTCATGTTACAATCCCGTCAACTAATTTCATAATTCCTGCGTACAAGTGATCAATTTTAGTACAAAATACAGCCTTCCTCCCACTTTAACGGTTCCAGGAGCGAAAGAAATACGAATTCAACATGTTTGATTTTTGTTACGATATTTATTATTTTTTCAACAAATATAAACCTACGCTTTAAAAATTTTTTATCAAAAATGGGGAAGAATTTTTCGGTTCTGAACTGAGAACAAAATCATGAGCATCATCCCAAACATTTCCTTAAAATTCTTGAAATACTTAAGTCTTATTTAAAGTTCTCCAAAGTCTTATGAAAGTTTGTGTAGCAAAAAAACTTTAAATTCGTTGACATCCTGTTTTAAACGATAGCAAGAATATAAATTTTACCAAAACAGGCCTGTTGCATGCTAAGATGGATAGCAGATTAGAAAGATTAAATTTTAAGCAAATACTTTTCCACTTCAACATAATTAGCTCAGATCGAGCAATAAACTGAACGAGGACCATTTTCTACACAACTCATTTGAAGAAGCCTGCTGAGTTTGCCGACAACAAGCGGGTGTGCGTCAGAGTAAATGAATCGTTCATGTTGAAAAACTCAAAACATTAAAACAAATGCATCGGATACTTTTGATTTTTTTGATTAGACGCACGAAATGTCGACAAAACAATTGTCACAGTGAATATCAAACATTGTATTAGAAAACATGTGATAAAACAAGGCTTATTTCAGCATCTCTTAAAAACCAGTCAAACGCTCATTTCGATCATTGAGCATCTTGTACAAACAGCCCAATATATTTGCAAGGTGGCGGTAATACATTAATTATTGCATTCCTTGTTCAAATTTCTTTAAAAATTGGTAAAAATCGGATATAAATATGATGCTGGTACAAAATTTACCATCTCAACATAATTCTCGTTCATACTCATAATAACGATAATTTTGCTATCACTAACTTCGAGATTTACGAATACTCAACGCAAAATACAAATGAAACTCGCTTGTTAAATGTTGACTTGTTGATAGTGGATGCACTAATTTGGTAGATGTTCAGGCTTGTCTTGAACAAGATGTCCATCATTCAAACGATAAAACAATCATTAAGAATATAAACAATCCAAGCTATACACGATTGCAACAAGTCGTCCGAACACGCGTAGTTTGCATGAATTAGTTGTTATAAGATGCTTTCAGTGTTTTTATAAGTAGTATGAATTGTATCCACTATAACTCTGTAGTTTTCCTCGACACGTTATCTTCGGGAAGGGGGGGAAACTCATAAAGCTGTCTACTCTACCCTTTTAAAAACAAAAGCTGTTAAAGACGGCAAAGGAAGTGTTCAATTTTACATATAAACGCGTTGCCACACGCATAACAAAATGAAACACATTGTGAGCAATATATTGTATGAGGCCAGTGGGGGCTTTATTGTAGAAAACGTAAGATACTTATATTAAAAAACATTTTTACGTTACCAGGGCAAAATGATTCAAGTATAAGGACACAGTTTTCTAAATGCTTGAGAAGAAGTATTCGCTCGTACATTCAAGGACTCAGTACGACTTTATATGTGTAACTTGACAAACTTATAGTGAACACGATGTGATGTATAAACACAAATATGAAAGAGAAGAATTAACAAGATTAACCTAAATATACCCAAAGAATAACATATAATGACGACGAAATGTATTATACCATGTATAAAGTACTTGCCCAATAATATCTTAAGTACGTTAAAGAGAAGATACACAATTTTGGCAATCGATACCTGAATCAAGAAAAACGACAAGAGAAAACAGCACAACGGATGAAATCATTGCTTTCGCAGAAAAAGAAACAGAACAAGAACAAATACAGTAATATTTCCAATAGTCCAACAATGTTAATTACGGTGGCCCACAAGTACAAGCACACCTACAAATAACAGCATACGCGCACAAATTCGAGGATGCACACTTACAAATAACAGCATACGCGCACAAATTCGAGGATGCACACTTACAAAAACAGCATACGCGCACAAATTCGAGAGTGGCCCACAAGTACAAGCACACTTACAAATAACAGCATACGCGCACAAATAAATATTCACATTCATGGCTTATTACATGACGTTTCGTAAAATCGGGCTCCAAAAACCGAAAAGATTGCCGGCGAGAAATATTTCATGATTCACATGTTCACAATAGCAATAAGTCAATAACCCAACGATGTTTTGTCCACATTGTGGAAAAGAAAAGGATGAAAATGCAAATTTTTGCGAGAACTGTGGTGCAAGTGTATCAGAAATTAAACCTTCGGCCTCTAGTCAACAACCGTTAACTTTCGAAGAGTACATAAAGAAGAACGCAGTCGCCAATCCTTGCACTGATCGTGGCGATCAACTAGAAAATTCCCACCGCGCTGGTAGTTCGTCTACCTTTCAAACTATTAGAAAAAGGAAGTCAAATGAACGATTAAGTCAAATAAAAAAAAAGGAGAAGAAAGATGAAGTAGTGAAGGTATGTGTATTCAATGTTATGATTATGCCAATTATACAAATTTGGTTAATGAAACTCAATTTTGTGTTGTAGATAAAGATTGGAATAATTGAACTCGACGGTAAAAGACTTAAAATAAGAAGATCTTCTTTACTTCCTGTTGATGTTCGAAAATCAGATACATTAGTTCCTGTAAAGAATGCCGGAGTTCAGAAACAGCTTGCCCACAACAGACATCTCAGAGATCATAATGAAACTGAGTGGCTTTTACTTTACCCTGATATGGATATCGTGGGAAATATTCCAGGAAGCAGTGAAAAATTCTCTGTGGAAAAATATAAAAATGAACTTGGACGTCCATACAGTCGAGTAAATTTGTACATTTGCAAAATGCTTGATTTTGAAGGTAAACACTGAGTTCAAAATAATTCCGGTATTTTTTGCATTTAGACTGCTGGAGTGAGCATTAGGGGCATTGCACAAGACAAACACTGGCTGTATTGAAAACTGATATGTCATGCAATAAATAATCAAAAAGCAGTCACATTTTATTGAAGCAACATTTCTGAGCTTCCCAGAGTTGAATGGGCCTATTGACTGTATTTTACTGGTGAATAAAGGTTCACTACTGGGGCAAGCACAGAGCAAAATGCGAAAAATGCCCTAGTACATAAAAGTTAAAAAATGCCTTAGAATAATTATGTTGCAACTAACATTAAACCTTCAAAAGAATTTGTTTGTAGGGTTAGTAATTATGTTATATTCTAAATTTAGTTGCCAATGATTTGACTGAAGACCTCGAGGAAACGGTTGTTCCAGATACTGCTGATGTTTTTGAAGATAATTCTGTGCAAGAAAATTCTTCACAAACTATATGTGAACTGGGAAATTCTCAACAAGTCAATGCAACACCAGATAATTTTGTGGAAGTTAATCATGCTCATACCAATGCTGTTCCAGCTAGTCTTGCAAAAGCTAGTCTAGTGGAGGCAAGCCATGTTCAAACAAATCCTGTTCCAAGCAATGTTGTTAATGTTGATAATAGTTGTGTGGAAGCTGTTTCCTTTCAGGTTGATTCATTTTCAGTTGAGCAAATCATTATGGAACCAGGTGAAATGCCTGCTCAAATTTTTCAGGATGCAGGTATAACTAATGATTTGTTACATATGTATCCTATACATTTTGTATATTTGATTGTTTTTGTATTTTAAATTTATTTTTTAGATGTAACTGAATCCCTACTAGATAATATTGAACCAGAGCCAAATCTTGTACAACCAGCTCAAGTTAATCTACCCAAGGAACAATTGCATGTGCTAGATCTGCTAATCCATCGCACAACCCTTTTGAAAGACATGATAACAGAATTTTATAATCCAAATGTATTGAAATCTACTATATTTTTTAAAGTAGTTGATGCAAGAGGTATGTTTGAGGAGGGAGAAGGAAGAGGTGTTGCA